CTCCACAACACCGTGATCTGAGTTACCCAGGGGGGACAGGACAGCAGTGCTGTAAGGGGCAGGATGCGTGGTCAGAAAGAGATCCAGCAGGCTACTGGCGTGTGTCGAGACGCGAGGGAAAAAAGTAGGGCTCGTCACCAGCTGGGTCAGCCCTTGAGTAAGAGCGAACGCTTCGACTGCACGACCTGCTGCATCGGTCTTATTTGAGCCCAACCAAAGCTCATTATGGGCATTGAAATCACCGAGAAGAACTACCTCTGAAGCGGGGTGATTGATGTTCAGGAAGTCGATCTGGACGGCGAGGTATTCGAGTAGGTCATCCCAGTTATGGTTCGAGGGAGAGCGATAAAGGCAGCAAATAAATTTGGGTGATGTTTTGGAGTCGAGGCGAAGCCACAGAATGTCCTTCCGGTCTGATTCCAAAGAAAGATCCCTGGAGCAGGAAAGACTGCTGCGGACAAAAGCCACAACTCCCCCGTTCTTTCTCAGATTGGAGTGCACCTCGTAGTTTGGGAAGTTGAGATGGTTAATCGGTGCAGTCTCTGAGATTTCTGTCTCCGCCCAGAAAAGCACGGCGGGACGATTGGATTGCAGGTAGTGATAAACAGCATCAATGTTGCTGTTGATCCCGCAGATGTTCGAAAAACAAATTTTATCCTCGATGCTGTTCCCTCGAGCCCACCCTCCACCCGGACATTCCGAGAGTGGAATGAGTTTACGTCCGGAGTTCTTAGTGCTCGAGGGATCCATCATCATTAATTTCTTTGTTTTGGTAGATAATCGACTGCATAGCTTAGTTGTGGAAACATGCGGACATTTATAAGACACCCTGGGAAAAGCTAGCGGGTGGTACTGCCTCGGTCGACTGGTCCTTGTCTACCACCTTCTTTTTACGTGTTAGTGATGTTAAATAGACCTAAAGTGGCCCGTTGGCGGACTTGTACCGCCACCCGGCAATCGGTACTGAGGTATTCCTTAACGCGTGCACAATCACTTGGACGGGAAGAAGTTGTATACTGGATACAACAACTTCCGGAACAAGCATTTGCCACGGCCCTCACTCAGTACGGCTGAGTAGGGCGTGTTACTTGCGCAGGTAAAACTGCGGTGAAGCTTGCGCGTGTGGTAGGCCCTTAAGGCAGGGCGCAAAATGAGGCACGTATAGCACCTGTGAGGTGATGTGAGACGAGAGGCACGATCCGTACGTGCCACACGTGCTGCGTGGTGATCCGCATAATGAGACGCAGTTTGATAGGATCTCGCGTCACATTGGAAAATGGCTGATACAAGAACAAAACAATTATTATTATTAAACTTTATGTAGTTAGGATGCTTTGTGCCACCTTTTTAACGTGAAAATGCACGAGAAAGTCTGTAGACGCTTAGCACGTGGGCTGCAGGACACTCGAAATCTGTGTCTCATTCACGTCACACGTGTAGGATGGCGCGCGCGTCACGTCCCTAGTCAATGCTGTTCCAAGAATATCTATTGGTTAACAAAAGTACATGCTGTGCTGCGTCATCTCACACGTGCTATACTTGTCTCAATTTGCAACTTGCCTAAGTCTTGTCGCTCTAGGTCACTACACTATGGACACAAAGGCGCGTTTCATAATGTTTGATACTTCGCGCCCATCGCCGCAACCGCGCTAGGCTCGCAACATGGACGCACACTGAATAATTTAACTTAAAACACATATTCCACATTATATTTAATAGCTGAATCAAATTCTGTATGAAAAAATGCAATCATCGGAGTTATTATTCAGTTCTAGTCATTATTCCATCTTCTGTATATTCTGGTAACTACATCCGTACTTTGTACGTATTTTTATGTAGAATTTAGCATCATATTATAGATTTTTAACCCATAGTCTAATCATATTAGCAAATTTCCTCGAAATAATTGTAAAGTCTGGTTTTATTGGTACAAGTTGTTCAAGGGGATATTTAAAACATGGACGCATAAAATGGGTACACGAATTTTTGTGGGAAAACTTTTTATTTGACAACAATGACTGAGAAAACGCGTTTTTTAGAATTCAATCGAAAGAGTTGGCTGGAACGAAAAAACTTCTTCATATAAGATTTTTAGGTATTTATGAGACCTACAAAGTAGTTTTTTGAGAATTTCTAATTGTTTATCCCAAAACACCTATTTTTCGGCCATCACTAGTATTTTATTGAGCTACTTGCATATACAAGGTTAGTTCAAAGGGCATTTTATAGCAAAATACACGAATTTACCTTGCCGATATGAATCACAAACCTTTCCGAAAGATAAATGTTATTTTCATGCGAAAAACAAAGGTTACGTGCTTTTATTCAAAACAAAGTCAACACTTCGTATTTGTGAGTAATTGAAATGCGCTACGATATACGGAAAACATACGTTACTATACATATTTTAAGACAAAGCGGATGTGTCCTATCATCTTTTTGTTGCGAATCACTCACAAATACGTGTTTGAATTTGTTTAGCAGAAAAAACGTAACGCATCCTTTGTTTACAGAAAAATAACATTTATCTTCGGGAATGGTTTGCAATTCATATCGGCAAGGTGAGCTAGTATATTTTGCTATAAAATACCCTTTGAACCAACCCTGTATATTGCTCAATAAACTAGTAGTGATGGCAGGAAAGCGGGTGTTTTGAGATAAACAATTAGAGATTCTCAAAAACTACTTGACCAATCTACTAGATTTTTTTTGTGGTTATTGAGAAGTACGAATCCTACAAATTTGAATAATTTCGAATGCCTGCGAAAAATCATCGACGCATTACCAACAAGTGCCAAAACCTGCAGTTTGCGTCTGTTTTCGGCCATAACTTTTTTCCTATTACTCGGATCTTTTTACGTGTGGTCTCATTTTGTAGGTCTCATAAATACCTAAAAATCTTATATGTACAAAGAGTTTTTTCGTTCCTGTCAACACTTTCGAATGAATCCCAAAAAACACGTTTTCTCATTCTTTGTTGTCGGATAAAAAGTTTTCCCTGAAAAATTGGTGTAGGTACCCATTTCATGCGTCCATGTTTTGAGTACCCCTTTGAACAACTTGCAGCAATAAAACCAGACTTTACAATTATTTCACAAACCAGTGCTATTTTCGTCTAATATGATTACACTACTGGTTGAATATAGTAAATTTTGTGAGTAATATTCCATGAAATTGCTACTAACGTGTTTAAAGCGCGATATTGAAATGGAATTGCTCATATAAAATACTAAACCCGCGGATGCGCTGGCATGGAAGTAGTATAAGGTATAGGTAATTCGTTTTACATTATTGTGAAGGAGATTGGTTTCGGAGAAAGAGATGCATTATTAAAAGTAATGCAGTAGCTACTTTGGCAATGAAAATTGTTTATCCAACATTTTAATGCGACATTAAATAATTTTAATGTTTCGCTCTCGTCAAAAAGTAAGGAGTTTACGAGTACTTTTTCACTTATTCCTAAATGACCTTTAAGCGCATGATAAGGTTCATTGGCAACTTGAAATTGTCCGCAATTTACATTTCAGGAAATAAAAATAAATGATTCCCGTTAAAATTAATTTGATCTTCAAATGACCACGATGGTCATATTCAAGGTCAGTGACATACTTGAACATAAACTTTCTTGCTCTTTTATTACACATTAAGAATTTCCCTTGACTTGAAAATTTCTCTGCAGGAGTCAAGTGGTTTCATACAATTAATCTTTGTTTTGTGCCGCAAATACTCTCTCAATTTCACATGATTTTCCCCATATCATAATGATGTAAGATATGTGACTATAGACCAGTGCATAATATATATTCACTAGGGCTTTTTCGGTGTCAAAAATAGGGGTTTCCATTTAAGAAAACTGCCTTGACCTTCAGATAAACTGAAGATCAAAGTCAATGTCATCTTCAAGATAAACATAGGATGAATCTCTTCAAACCATACAGCTCTATTACGCAACATTTTTCTTTATGACACGTATTTTTAGATATTTATAGTTATGTACAAAGCCATTCTTTAACGTAAAACTTTCCGCACTTTAGATTTCCTGTGACAAAGATAGAGGTTTAATTTAGGAAAACTGCCTGAACCTTCAGATAACCTAGAAGGTCATAATCAAGGTCACGTTCAAAATCACCATTAGATGCACCTTTCCAAACTTCGCTCTACATATTTTCCTAGGAATCGTATTTTGCGAGATATTTTGATCTATCTACACTTTTTGTACGCCTCTGGTTTCAATTATAGTTGGTATGCAGATCTTTGATGTGATGCTGATAGACTGGACAGACATTCACATTAATATACAGGGTGTCCCACAAGGAACTGCAACGATAGATTACTCAACAGGTTGACGATAGATAATTATGAAAACTTCGGGTTATTGTACAACTGATATGCGGAATTCGGCTAAGATGTTTTCAAAATGGTGGTGCTTGCGATCGTACCGAAGGTAGATACCAAGCTGGTTATTTTGAATTGAACACCCTGTATATTTTTCAATTTATATTTAATTCCAACCGTTTTTGAGAAATGCCAAATATTGTGTAAGAAAACACAAATGGAGTCCCATATCAAATTGACTGAAAAATATAAATCGTCATTTTGCGGCGGCCGTCATATTGGATTTAAAATGCGGTCACTCTGCTCATTGTGTTACTCTCGTCAAGCCTTGCCATTTGACACCCATGTCATAGGGGTTACTATGAAAATGCTGTGACGCCATCGGAATCTAAATGGCGGCAGTCTATTGATTTTGTATTGTTACCGAAACCGAACGTGTGTACAAAATTTCAGCTCAGTTGGTTAAAGTTAACTGATTCAAAATTCAGTTCCAAGATTCGTCCCACGAATACTAACATACATATATACGTACTAACATACTAATAAACAGGTCAAGTAAAATATAGGCTTGTAAAATGGGGTGATTTAAGAATATAACTAAGCAACAGCATGTCAGGTTCTCGAAACTAATATACAAACATTTATTTACGTGTCATTTATTCCAGATAATGAGGGCTTGAATGGAGACAACAATAAGCCCGTTCAACCCTACAACCCAAACCTCCCTCCTGTGGAAGAAAACATTCCTCAACAAGCGAATTTTGCCAAGCCGCCACCCACTCCTCCTCCAATTGGTTATGTGAAGAAGCGTACCAGGAGAGCCGTGGACCTTCCCAATTATCCTGAAAGCCGACTCTATGATGCACTGACCAATTCGTTGAAGAAATATATCTTTGAAGACGGTGCCAGAAGTCAGGTATACAACTATGGAGAAAGGAGGACGGAAAACTTGAAAACACAGTTAGGTGAGACTTGGACGAACAAATGATGTAAGCATTGAAGACCAACATGTTGGCTGATATCTTTGGGTCTCAAAAAACGTCTATCTTATTCATTCCACAGAGATATGGTAATTAGAGGTTTAGAGGGGTTGATCCTCAGAGAGAAGCACCCAACCTATTTTTGAAAAAGTTTTTCGCTTCAATACTGGTAATCTCATTTTATCTTAATTGCCATTATGCAATTACGCAATATGAAGTTTTTTCAATTCTGTTAGTCATATGTTCGTTCAAGAGTACATAGGTGTAGATGCGCTGTTTAAAGCCAAATGTCTGTAATTGGAACAGAGTATTATCGTTCTTTCCAAACTGCCCATGATGTACAGACTGCAAAAATCAAAAGTTCTTCATTTTTATCCTACCAAACAAGATAAAAAAATTGCTATAAAATAAACTCGGCTTACAATATTCTTTGGGGTTTTATAGGAGAAGGTTTGAATTTCGATTCAGACACTTGGCAATGTAAAAAAATAGTAAGACTTAATCAAATTTTTAAGTATTGAAAATTACCATTTTTAGGCTTTACCAATCATTGAACCGCTTGTAACTCGAAAGCCTTAGAGAACGGTTACTAAAGATCTTTTTTGTCCAGAATGATCATGATGATTTTTTATAATCACGTCTGATAGTTGCCTATCATAAAGAAACAAGAAGTCGGTAACCCGCTGCAAATTTTCTGAACAATTTTTTCAAGCAAATTTCAAAAAATATTTTTTTCTGGGCAAAAAAGGTTCCTAGTTCATAGTAACATTTTGCTAAAGTTCAGCCATTCCGAGTTACGAGCGATTCAGTGCTTGAAACACCGTAAAATTGGCGTCTTCAATGCTGAAGACCTTGGTTTGAGATATCTACTTTTGAGGTTGCCTAGTATCTAAATGAACATTCAGAACTTTCCCTACAAGACCCCAAAAAGTACTTCAAGCTTAGTTCATTTTAAATCAATTTTATGTTACTTGTTAAGCTATGTACAGATATGTAACAACACCGCGAACCGAACCACGCGCGGAACCGCGCCGCGCTAGTGTAGACGGTGAAAAAAACGCCGTCGCGAAGCTGATAAGCGTTTACAGCTCGCCGTTCGGCCGGATCCAGACACATCAAAGGAAAGGCTCGCGACGAAGTTGCACATGTTTGGACAGGGATATCGGTGCGACGAGCACGCGCTCATATCAGTAAATGGATAGAGCCCGTGAAGAAAAGAAGGAATGGTCGGAGCAGAAAACTCTTTTGATTAAAGAGCATTACAGAGTAGGGGAATTGTTGTGGGATGCATAACATACCCTGAATTGCAATAAATTAAAAAAAAATGATGTCTTTCACTGAACGACAAACATCAAACTTGGATCGTCGTTTTGTTGCGCGATGTGGTTGCACGACGTGGTTCGGTTTGTGGTGATGCTCGTTGCAATGTTGTTCGTAAAAATGCGCGCGCTGCGGTTCGTCGCGTGGTTCGGTTCGCGATGTTGTTACATATCTGTACATAGCTTAAGACAAACATTGGGGAACTTTAGATTTTTGCAGGCTGTACAATATAGGGCCGACCATCCGCAAAATGTAATTAGCCGAACTTGCTTGAAATATGTTTGAAGCGTTGCGGTGACAGAGGGACCCCTTTGTTTGCTCCTCAATATATACACAAAAAAGAACAGGCAGACCTATTTTGTTGTCCAAGCCTAAAGAACTGTATCCACCATAGCTGGGGCGTAGCAACCGCCTTATCAGCCGTATCATTGATACGGGCCCCCAAGCCTAAAGGTGCCCCGACATTTGAAGGAAAACACGAGTAAAGTATGAAGTATTATCCACAATCTCACTCAAGTTTTTAGGTCTTACGCCAAACCATAAATTCTCAAGGGCTAAATTTTTAGTTCGCATGACATGCCTCCTGTTTTTGACCCTTGCAGATTACAACTGCAACAACGTGAAAGCGGCTTTTAAGCGTGATTTATCTAAGGACTTCTATGCGACAACTATGACAATCAGCATGAGTAGTGAATTCAGAGAAATAAAATTCCGACACATTAAGAAACCAGAAACAGTGGAAGCAAATGTGAAAAATTTCAAACAGATTTGAGTATGCCCAAACATTTTCGAAGGGTTTTAAAGCCTCCAAGAAACAAGCTTTCAGACTGTTTTGAAGATCTTTTGTGTTTTGCTCAAAATACCGCTGTCAATTGAACGATTTTCAAAAATGAGCTAACATTACCGCTAACATGTTGCTCTCCAAATTCCATCAGTGCAACCATTTCCGGGATTATGAGAAGTAATATTACGCTAACACAGTTGAACCGACACACAGACCGACGGGAATAAGTGAAATGTAGTACAAAAAAGCAAATATATGTTGATAGTAAAAAGCAACATTTAGTCAATACGTCACTATACCGGGTGTTTCAAATTTGACCCTCACCATTGGGATCTCAGAAACGTTTAAAGATACGAAGACGCTTAAACGGGGGCAAAGTAGCCTGTATATAACAAAATGCCGCTTAGAAAATTTTGAAGGTCAAAGTACTTCCGGTGTGAGACGGAAAAAACGAATCTTGCCAAAATCATGTTGATTTGTTCCTGACTTTATTTATAGTGTTATTCTATAATAAATTGTACAATGGCATTGCCACTTTTTACCTCTACAAAATGACATAATTAGAATTTAAATACGAAGTTTCATCTCTTATCTCCTTCAACTTAATTTTTTTGTGTGTGACTACCAAAAATGTAAATATGTTATATATTGACATTTACATATCCCTTAGTTATTTAAAAATAACAGAATTTCCTTGAAATTATCAGATAGTTATTTGTTTCGTATACCAGATTCATCGCAAAATCATAATAAACTGATCGCTGAACAATGTACAGAGAAGTCAGGCTCTGCCTAAAAATTAATGGACGGCATTGTGAATAGCTGCTATGATTTACCTCTGCTGATCATTATTGTTATTACCATATAGCAGGATGGCGTAGTCAAATTTTCAATTCGAGGTGTCTTGACAACCAACTTTATTTTTTCATTTGAATACTATATTGGAATTTTGTACATTTAATGGAGGTTTCAGTCCTAGATTCAGTTGACCATGAATTTTTTGTTAGAAGGAAAATTATGAGGAAATAAAAAGGTATTATGATGATGCGATAAATCTGGTACATATATGAAATAAATGACTATGCTATAATTTCGAAGCCTACCTAGGAAACTGTATTTTTTTTAAATACCTAAGGTTTGGTAGTTTCAACGTATGACATATTATACATTTTTGGAATCAGAATTCAAAACTCTATTTATTTGTACAAAAAGCCAATATGGCGTGTATAGGAAAAAATTAAGTTGATGCTAGAGGGGAAAAACTGATGTGCAATTTATTTTGAAATCGCACTACGAATAAAGTCAGAAAGCAATCAAAGCAGGCTATGCAGCAGCGGTGGCCGCAGTAGTAGACTCTTTGGTCTCCTGATCAGTCGCCGTGCGCTGTGAGGGTTCGAATCCCGTCCCAAGAGAAATTTTTTTCTTGGCTATGGATGTTGTGATTGTCCGTAGGTGCTAGACTGCTAAACGGTCTCTGACTGTCGAAAGCAGAGGAACCACCCGGCGGATATGGAAGGCGGGGCCACAATGTGTTCATGTTCCCTCGCAAGAGTCCGTGTGGCGTTCCCCCTATCCCCCTATAGCCCCTCGGTACCCCATGGGTGTTTAGGCCTCAGGCCCTCGTGGTAGTTGGAGTATGAAAAAAGGTATTTTGAGAAAATTCTGTTTTTCCAATTCTCTCCGAAAGTACTTTGGATTTCGAAGCTTTCTAAGCCGTATTTTGTTAACTACCTAAATAATCATCTTGGCCCCCGTTTAAGCGACTTCATATCTCTTACCGTTTCCGAGATCCTATTGGTGGGGTCGAATTTGAAACGCCCGGTATATTCATTATTTATCCATTTTATGCAGTGCAAGCGTTTTCTGTGATTAGTCTTAACCTCGAGTTTTGTCCTCCATTTGCGGTTCGACACAACTGGGTAGAACCCTTGGGAGCAAGCTACGCAACTGCTCCTAAGCCTCGATAGAAGCGCCTTATATGTAGCATTTCGCTTTTAGATTGATGATTTGATTTTTCAAATTAGACAGTGACCTTTTAGGAGACTCCTCATGGCTATTATGATATTCCTAGTCCAAGCAGGTCCTCTGTAAACGCCGGTTTCCATTTTATTATGGACATATGCCTCTGCCCTGATTAGTGGATCAACCATTCTAGGAACTTTTATTTGGAGCAGAATATTATGGATTGCTTGATAAAAGACTCGACCAAGGAAAAGGTGCTAGAACGGTGGAATTGTTGTAAATAGATAAAACTGTGCTTGTTTCAGGCACACTGAAATCCCCAATTTTTTGATACTTTAGTTGTTCTTAGAATTTACCAATTTTTTATGAAATCCTATGTCACAGAATCAGTAACCACAGAAACTACACTCAGGCAAATACCCCAGTTCAAATGACGGGAGACCTGGCGCACCGCTGTTACTTGATAGTCTCTTTACTTTACTTATAGTCAATAAATAAGCGAATAACTCAGTTAAACGATACGACTCGCTACCGACGACAGTTATGTTGTTTGTACAGGGTGGCCCATCCATGTGTGGACAGAATATTACTCATGAACAAATACATTTTGGAAGAATCTATGTATGGCACAGTATACATGACATTTAAGGACACATTTCTAAAGTATTGCCAATTATACAGGCTGTCGCATTTTTGACCTACATATCAAAGTTGTGATTTTTTAAAAGGAATGCCTCAAATTTTAATGCATATTTGGATAAACCAATTCAAAAGAAGAAGATTGATATAACATACTATGTGGTTTTGGAAATTCGCTACTGAGATGTAAGGTGTTTTGTCTAGAAAAACCCCCCACTCCGGCAACCTCTCAGTCCGCCATTTTGAAATTTTGAGAGCTAAGTTTTATACCAAAAAAAACTTACACACCTCAGCTTTTATCCCATTTGTTACTTTATCGAATTTTCATTTTTGCTCATACCGGGTGGTTAAAAATGCGAATTGTACTTTTTCTCAAAAATTTCAAATACATCACCCTATATATTTGTGAAAGTTTGGATTCAATTTTTTCTAAACTTTTTTTTGGTATAAGGTTTGATTCAGATAAAATTACTAGATTTTGAGTTATTGAGCTTTTAATAGAACAACACACCAAAATTAAGGAAAAAAATCACATCATCCATGGAAACAAAAGACAAACAGTGGGCTAGTTCTATATTGCCACTAAGAGTACAGATTTGACGTAAAAACTAATAACAATATGAACAGTATAAATCAGCTTCAAACGTCTTTTAAGTTTTGCATATAGAAACATAGTAGGCCACGCGGATCGAATGTCAGTACTGAATCTTAACCTCACTCTTTAGTAAACTTAAATTCAAAGTTTCACAACAATACGTGTTCTCACTACAGTGAATTTTTAAGTGTCACCAAGTCATTAGAAAAATGGAACTCAAACGAGAACATTTTCGCGCCAGAATTTATTACAACTTTCAGAGACAATTATCGCAACAAGAATGCCTCGCTGAATTACTGTCTGTTTTCGCCAACGAAGTGCCACAGCAGTCGACAATTTCCTGTTGGTATGGAGAATTCAACCGTGGACGGGTGAGTCCAAAACGGCATTCACCAAGGAAAACGTCGATGCTGTGCGCAAACTCATCATTGAAGATAGACATGTGACATATTGCGAGATTGAGGCGTCCTTGAAGATCTCAAAGACCTCAATTCAAAAAAATTTACATGAAGAATTAGGAGTAAAAAAATTAGTTTCTCGTTGGATACCTCACCTGTTGACTGAACAGCAGAAAGCAGCCAGCGTTAATTGGTGTCAAAAAACGCTTGACCGTTTCAATTCCGGAAATTCAAAAAATGTGTACAGCATTGTTAGTGGTGATGAATCGTGGATTTACTGTTATGAACCAAAAAATAAACGACAGTCGGCTGTTTGGGTGTTCCAAGGTAAAGAAAAGCCAACAAAAGTCATCCGTTCTCGAAGTGTTTCGAAAAAGATGGTCGCGACATTTGTGTCAAAAGCGGGTCATATTGCAACAATTCCTCTTAATGAGCAAAGAGCTGTTACTGCGGATTGGTATACCACCATTTGTTTGCCAAAAGTTATCACCGAGCTTCGAAAAAAAGAAGAATCATCCTCCACCAAGACAATGCAAGCTCGCACACAGCCCAAAAAACAAGGCAGTATTTAACGGAAGAAAACGTGGAATTATTGGACCATCCTCCATATAGTCCCGATCTAAGTCAAAGGTTCCAGTCACCGCAAGAAGCAGTTTTTGCATTCAAAAATGCCGTTTTGGATCTGCCAGCAAACGAGTGGAATAAGTGCTTCGAAAATTGGTTCGAGCGCATGCAGGTGTGTATTAATCTTCGTGGAGAATACTTCGAAAAACAATAAAGTCATTTAAAACTACTTACCGTGTTGTTTTATTTCCATATGCAAAACTTAAAAGACATCCCTCGTAATAAAGAAAAACAACTATAACAACAACATAAACAAACAACTATCACTACTCAAGACCTAATCTACAAATACTGCTCGAAAATATCTCCACCATGTTGAACACACAGCCATAGTCTTTGGATAAATGACCGTTGCACATCCCTCAGCATGTGTATTCTCTTTTGTTCAGAAAAGCATCCTTAATCATTTCCTTCATATTTCCGGGGTAGAGTGTGGACATCTATAAACCTCTTGCTTAACGTAGCCCCCTAGAGAGAAGTGCATCGGTGTCATATCTGGTAATCTAGGAGGCCAAGATATAGGCCCATCACGGCCGATCCAACGATTGTTACTCCAGGTGTCCAAATAATTACGCACACGATTATGATAATGCGCAGGTGCGCCGTCATGTTTGAAGTACATATCCATCCGAGTTTGCAGGTTGACATCTTTCAAAAGCAAAGGCAAATGTTCGATCAAAAAATTCAAGTATTCTGTACCTGTTAATCTGTTATCAAAAAAGAAAGGCCCGATAACTTGTCTGCCAATAACTCCTCCCCAAACATTTAAGCTCCATTTATTTTGGAAATCGATTTGCCTAACCCAGTAAAGGTTTTCCGTCGCATAATAGTGCATGCTATGCCTGTTGACAACACCTATGCTGCTAGAAGTTGCCTCATCGCTAAAAAGAACCTTGTCCAGGAAAGTAGTGTCTTCACTCACTTTATTTAGCATTGTTCTACTAAAGTCCATTCGAGCTGCGAAATCCTGAGGTCGAAGGCCTTGATGCAAGCATAGGTGTTATGGATGGTACCTATGCTTGTGAATAATCCTTTGGACAGAAGTTCTGCATATATCAGTTTCTGCTCCAATTTGCCGTGCACTTAAATGAGGATTTTCCTGCAACTTTATTAGAACTTCCAACTGATTCGCCTCATTGGTGACACTTGGATTATTTATACACTTTTTACTATATTCCACTGCTCCACTTGATTTAAAACGTTCTTGTAGTGTGGAAAATGTTTCCGGCCTTGGATGTCGCATATTAGGGTACCGTTGCTTATAAATGCGAGATGCTAGGAAACTATTTCTTTGGGCTTCGCCCAAAACGAACACCATATTCACAATTTCTTCTTTAGAAAAATTCATTTTCAAACACGTTTTTATTATAATGCTCGCAAAGCTAATTTTGACAGTTTGTAACTAATCAACAATTTATTTGTTTCCAAGGATGATGCGATATTTTAGGGAATTAAGCCGTTCCATAGAAGACGTGCAATCACTGAAAAAATAGCCATAAAGACTCTTATGTGTCTAGTATCAAAAAAAAGCTTATAAAAAATTGAATCGAAACTTGAACAAATATACAGGGTGATATGAAATGTTTGAGAAAAACTACAATTCGCGTTTTTGGCCACCCTGTATGAGCAAAAATGAAAATTCGAAGAAGTAACAAATAAGATAAAAGCTGAGATGTGTAAGATTCTTTGATTCAAAATTCGGCACCCTAAATTTAAAAATGGTGGACCAAATGGGTTGCCGAAGTGGGGGGTTTTTCTAGACAAAACACCTTATACCTCAGTAGCTAATTACCAAAACCACATATTATGTTATATCAATTTTCTTCTATTGCACTGGTTTATCCAAATATGTAATAGAATTTGAGGCATTCCATTTGAAAAATCGCAACTTTGATATGTAGGTCGACATTGGGACACCCTGTATAATTTCCAATATGTTATAAATGTGCACTCAAATGTCATGTATAACATCTCATAAATAGATTTTCCCAAAAAGTATTTGTTTATGAGTAATATTCCATCCACACATGGATGGGCCACCCTGTACAATTCACAACACAGAACAAGACTATCTTATTCTGATAACTTATTCCGGTATAGTAGCTCTGAACCGAACAGAAAGAATGAAAAAATCAGTGCCAACATAAAAGTAGGAAATCCCATATCAATAAGTTGTATAGCAGAGCAACGTTATCCATTCTGTGTCTCATTGCTTCAGTTGATCTAGTGAAGACCATCACTTCCGACGGGATATAGGATCTATCGAAAAATAGCATTGTAGTTTGTTTCTTGCAAAGATGTACAGGGTGTTCAGTGGGAAAGATCTCATTTCAAATTTGAATTACGCGGCAACCGTATACGCGAGGAAGTTGGGAGAGGTCTTAATCGACGCGTTCGGCGTGCGGGTTAAATAGTCACAATGGAACGATGGATCGGGGCCCAACGTGCTTTTGCTATCGAGGCTTACTTCAAGAGTGGTGATTCTTAGGCCCATTTTCACTTAGAAGGTTAAAGGTGACTGTTTGGTGCGCCATATCCTCTAGCGGTATTATTGGACCGTATTTCTTTGAATATGAAGACGGTCATGCATTGAAAGTAAATTCCCGGACACCCTGTATCATTCTGTGTCTTGTACCATTGGTCGCCGATCTATGAGGATTTCACTAACGCTACGTGAGCTTTGATAACTGCAAATGTTTACAGAAACTCAAACAATCTTTCGTTTTAGTCAAACAATTATGAGAAACGATGAAAACGCAACTTTGTGATCGAGAATTAAGTGAGAACAGGATAGAAAAAAGTGGAACCATGTAGTTTGACAAATCAAATTCAGCTTAAGAACATTTCAGCCACACGGAAATTCTAAGCGTTGTTTGCCATATATGCAATCATAGAAGGCATGCCTGTAGTTTTACGTCAAATAACAAAGTTACGCATTGTTTACGTGTTGACATCAGTGAACCTTTATACTTTGCCAAAGAATGATCGGCAACTCCGAAAACATTCTGAATATTAAGTTTGTTGACGTTCTCCAGCAGTACTTTTGTGTGAAAATTATATTAGAATTCGAGTAGTTACTTCCCAACTGTATCAATAGAGGCCCTTGTAACTTTTTCGCTGAGGAAAGTTCGGACTAAAGACCGTCATTCACATACAGAAGCTGTTTGATTTTAACGTAGTCAAGTACTTGAACGGTGAACAATGCGCAGGTCAGCCAGAGTGATTCTACTGGCCCTATATACTATGCCTATGTAATATTATGTAAACCTCTATTATGTTTTCAGATGGTATGCGAAGTAATTCCCAGCCCAGAAGTTTTGAATACGCACCGCTATCGTCCTATCAGCTTCCGTTACCTCTTCAGCAATTGTACAATCCTTCTAATTCACTGCAACCATCAGTTTTGAACCCAGTTACGAAGGAAAAACCTGATGTTATTGCAACAATCATCGTAAAAATTTTTGACCATGTTCTAAGTGCAGTACCAACAATTATAGAACGTATTTTTGGTAGAGGAATCTACGATCTGTTTAATTTCAGTGATTATAATAATTACAGTAATTATAATGGTTATGGTTACTATAACGGCCAAAACGACTTACAGAAATTGTTCAGAGGTCTAGGCATTTTAGGCTATGGGCCTCTTATCATATTGAAAATCATCGACGGCTTCACAACATTTATGAATATTTTGAGACGAAACAGCTTTTTCAGAACTTTCCTACTTCCTGCTCTGGTGCTAATGTTGATAGCAGGCAGTGTGATTTTTTTAATATGGTGGTTACAGCCAGATAATTTTACTTCGAATTACCAAAATGTATATCAAAGTAGTAATGGTCAAAATCAATATTACTCTAACGTTCAGCCTCATTATAATAACTATCGACAATATTCTGGACCATCCAATAACAAATATCGAACAATGGATTATAATCAGGCCTTCGTTCATCAGGGTTATAATGGCCCAAGTAGAAATATTCAAAACCCTCAAAGTAGTTTTGTAAATATTTATAGATAAATGCGAATAACTCATACAGTAGCTTTTATACGTATTTTTTAATAAAATATTTTTCCAGAAACATATAGCATTATTTTGACCGCCCATGCCCAACCACCATTACTAAAAAAGGTTGATCAAACATTCATACTAGAGTTGTAGGGTTTATGTAACTGACAAATAAAAGGTAATAATTATTTGATTTGAATGACCACGGGTGCCATTAGGGGTAGGCAAGGCCGTACCTGACATTCCTCCCTGGAATTCGGTTGTACCTTAAAATATTTATATGCAGCATGACTTTGTGTACAATTGAGGATTTTCAGGATTTGGTGCCCCTGAGAAAATTTGATAGTTCAAATAGGTTCGGGGCAGGTACACTTTCGCAAAAAGTTATCTTTTGCCAATAATCGACACCCCCCACCCGTCCCCCTGAGAAAAATTCCTTGTGTACGCTCATGTGAATGACCCCTCTAATGAAATTATGTTCGAATCCTTTACTTATAAAATATCATGGGCGTGCAGATAGCGTCGTTGCCCCCTAGAAGTGCGATCGACCTCTAGGATTTGTACATGATGGCCAACTAGGAATGGGAGGGAAACATTCCATCGTAGAGGCTTGCGGCAAAAAAAGTACCTACCAAAACGACCAAGAGAAAAACCTGGAAAATATCTTCAAGTTTCTGAAATGGTCGCTAGGGAGCGTAACTGCAATGTTGAATCTAAAAAAGTAATGGTTCTGTGAATTCTGCTATATTAACCTAACAAAAAATACCTGATCTTCAAAGTCGACGACAATGTGAACTTTTTTGTTTGACAATTTTTGCTGTATCTTTAAAAATAAAGTGGTGGGGGTATTCAAAGGTTTCCGTAAAAACAACCTGTATCTTCGAAACAGCTGTTCCGATTTTAGTAAACTTGGAGTAGTTGAAAAGTCCTATTCTTGGACTACAAATGCTATAATATTTGTTAGTTTCACATGTGGCATTACAGAAATGGTTAATTTTCCCAAAAAAATTAAATGCATTTGTATGATTTTTTTTATTATAAGTAGCTAAATGATGTCTAAACAAGCTCGCGAAAACCACATCTCGATATCTTGTTCCTAACCTAAAATTTAGGCCTAAGAAAATTTTATACGGAAATCCCTTGAATTTTTATTTTTCCAAACTTTATTATTAAATTGCCGCCTTAAAAATGACCGATTTAACAAAGAAAGGCTTTCAGTGCACCCGTAAATGCTCGAAATACTGACCATCACGCTCTATGCATTCCTGAAGCCTCTCATGCTACAAAAAAAAAGTGGGAATTAAGCTAATTCAAGGTATCAGAAGCCTTTATGAGGTAAACTGTCCGCGTGGGTGGATTGGATACGGATGAATTCACAACGGACCAAGGACTAAGACAGGGCAGTGTACTGAGCCCGATACTATTCATCTTAGTTATGGATGAAATAATGTTGGAAACAAGACACGACACCAAAAAACTATTAATAGGATATAAAAACATACAACCGGTAACAATAACCGAGTGCGCATTTGCAGACCATCTTGCCATATTTGCTGATAGTGAAAGAAGTCTACAAACAAAGCTAACCATATGTGACCAAGCTCACACGTCCAGGAACATGAAAATAAAGATACAGATACGAGTAAAATAATGGCAATAGCGAGACATGAAAACAATGCCACCCTACTGGTAGGAGAACATAGACTAGAATGCGTAAGTGAATTCAAATATCTAGGAACCATAGTAGACTCTAAAGTAAGACAGGAACGTGATCTAAATGAAAGAATAAATGCTGCTGCGAAACTGTACTATGCTCTAAATAATACATGCTTAGCCAAAAAGGAACTATCACTCGATACCAAGCTAAAGATATATAAAAAACCGTTTTCTTACCTGTTGTTTTATGGAGATCAGAATCATGACCAAGAAAATGAAATAAAGACTGCAAAAGCTCGAGATGAAATTCTTGAGGAGGATCAGAGGCGTCACGAGAACAGATAAAATAAGAATCGAACAAATAAGACAGGATCTGGGAGTAGAAGCGGTAACAACGGAGATCGAAAAAAGTCAGCTGAGATGGTTTGGACACATAAACCGGATGAAGGACACTAGGTAAGTGAAAAGAATATGGCAGGCAACGACGGTACCAAGTGGATCGAGAGGAAGACCTAAAACAACGTGGGACAAACCTGTGGAAGAAACATTAAAAAGGAGAGGAATTACACCAGCAGAAGCTAGACTACTTGCAAAAGACAGAAGACAGTGGCGAAACTTTATGTATAATTATTAACTGTAAAGTACTACACACCCTTACATCACATATGGTACTAAAAGGGCTTTAGACAATATATATATATATATATATATATATACAGGGTGACTTTGAAGTTGAGTCATTAATTTTCAGATAATGATTGTAGAAGGAAGATAAACCAAAATATGTGTGTAAAAATAAAAAAAAATTAAAAAAAAATTTACCTTGTTTTATAAAGTATCCTCCCGACAAGTATTTCAGTGCGGACCTGTATTTGATCGTGCGGTCTTGGAGCACCGGCATGCCCTCCCCTGTGAGGTCTTAAGTCACCTGATTCACGGGCCCTTTGTAAACATGTGCCATTTTTGATTTCGTTTGAGCCACGCAACAGACACCACTATTCACTCGCGCGTTACCGACTGACACTGACTGTATACAACTGAATAAAATAATTGTAAAAACATCGTTCCAAATTCTTTCGCTTTTTTGTTTCCGATGCGATGAACCGATAAGGCGGATTATATCCGTTGTTGCCAAACACGAGCACATAATATTATTATTGAGACAGGGCGGTACTCAAACCTCCAAAGGGCTATAACTTTGTTACTTTAATTTTACCAGAAAAATGGTAAAGGAAAAAAACATTTCTTTTGATCAGATCTACTAACTGTTAAAATAAATGCCTCAACTTCGAAGTCACCCTGTATATAACTTGAGACGTGGTCATTGTCGTCTAGACCAGTTAGGTGAAAAATTAAAGCTTCCGCCTTTTGTTGGGTGCTTCGACAAAATTTAAGTAAAGAGGACTCTTTATACTTTTTTAATTCTCTCTAGCTTTCAATGGACTTTGCCATCATCATCAGGAGAGTAGTATGTGAGGATGTTGCTAATTGTTGTTTACGTATAGGATGAAGGAAACGTCCAGTAACATGGTGAGAGCTGGATAGATGGTACAATGGTCAAAATTATATAAAATATGACAAGAACAAGTTAAAAACAGATTAAAAATTATTTAAAAAACATTAAAAAGTGATGCTAAGCTTCATCCTGAAAGATGCGCTCTAGCATCTCATGTTAACACAACAGGGCATTCTATGAATTACACAAGTATCAAAGTTCTTGATAAAGAAAAACACCTTTCCAAACGTTTATTCCTGGAAATGTCCCACATTTTCATGAATAACAACTGTATCAACAAAAAGACAGATATTAAACAACTGAGTGTCATTTACTCATATTTGCTAAACTGCGAAAAATTGGAGAACTTACATATCTCCCCAAATTTCGACTTTTCACAACCATAAATATAATCTGTGTTTTGGCCGATTCCACCAACAAATTTCATTCCACTCAAAATCTAATAATTCTCTTCTCACGATTTATTAATAATTATTAATTTAAAATTCCCATTAATTAAAATATAGTTTATTCAACTGCCTCTGGTCGGTTTAACAATTTCTTACATAACATTCTGAAAATCACATCATCTGAAGTGATTTGGCAACGTTTTGGCACACGCCCACAATTCGTTCCATCTTTCAACACAGACATTGACAACCTTCGGCCTTCTGTCAAAGGTTCATCTCACTCATTATTCCATGACCACCATTTTGTGCAATCATCAAGTGGCTTCACGACGTAATGCTCTAATGTTTTCTAAATAATTTTTAATCTGTCTTTAACTTGTCTTGTCATATTTTATATAATTTTAACCATTGTACCATGTATCCAGCTCTCACCATGTTACTGGACGTTTCCCTCATCCCATACGAAAACAACAATTAGCAACATCCTCACATACTACTGTAAGTTGATTCAATTTAAATTCATTTTACACTTTTGTTGCTACTGTTATCATTGTAATTGCAGCTCCTGATGATGATGGCAAAGTCCATTGAAAGCTAGAGAGAATTAAAAAAAGTATAAAGAGTCCTCTTTGCTTAAATTTTGTCGAAGTACCCAACAAAAGGCGGAAACTTTAATTTTTCACCTAACTGGTCTAGACGACAATGACCACGTCTCAAGTTATATATACAGGGTTATCCAAATTAAGTGTCCACCATTGGTAACTTTGTTATTAGTAAAAATACAAAGTTGTTTAAATTAGCAAACTAGTAGCATTTTTAACGCTGGTAAAAATGAGAAATAAAAAAAAACAATTGAGAGTCGTTATTTTGATTTTTTTCAGTAAAATAACATTTTTTAAATGGAAACCCCTGTATATTATATTTTTTTCTGTTGAAGCATCAAATTTTAAACAAAAAAGTTCATAATGACTTTTCCGCTAAAGTCAAAAATAAAGTCAAAATAACGATAAATATTTTTAATTATTTGCAGTATTATAATATTAAGACGGCTATGAAAACAACATGGCGTTCGCGATTTGACAGCATTAAGATAAGCGACAAATTGTTAAACTGGACATACTCGCAACTAGAAGGCTTTGGAAAACAATGATAAAATCAAATAATGTCAAACATTAGTGTAAATACTTGTTTATAAGCTTTATTGTGTCATTAATTTAAAGAAAAATGTTCTCCCATGAAGAAAAGTGTGATATGTTAGAATGCTATTTAGTGTGCAGAAAATCCTCCTTGAGAGCAAGAGAATACTACAGTGAATTATATCCCGCTCGCATTCAACCGTATGAACGATATTTTCTGAGACTTTATCGAAAATTTAGGGGCAACGAAAATGTTTTTGCTAAAACAAGGGCAAAAAAAGAATTCATAATAAGCGAGGCCACGGAAATTGCAGTTATTGGATATTTTGAAGCTTATCGTGAGAATTCAATAGCAGATATTCTCAAGGACTCTAATTTCAGTTATGGTACTGTTCAAAGGATTTTAAAAAAATACAAATTTATTCCGTATAAGTACCGACCAGTTCAAACGCTTTTGGCAGGGGATCCAGAGAGAAGACTTGTTTTTTGCCATTGGTATCTTAGCTTCTGTCGCCAAAATGTAAATAACTTTCGTTACCTTTTATGGACAGATGAATCAAATTTTTCAAATTATGGAATGTTCAATAGAAAAAACCACCATTATTGGTCAAGAGAAAATCTTTTGTTAGTACATCCAAGAGGCCCACAAGTCCGTTTCAGTTTCAACGTTTGGTGCGGTATAATTGGTTCAAAAATTGTTGGCCCGTTCTTTTATGAGGGAACCCTAACTGGTGAAAGATATGTGGAATTTATGTCAGAAATTCTGACTAATTTCTTAGACGAATTGGATCTTATAAGTAGACATCATCTGCATTTTCAGCAAGATGGCGCACCTGCCCACAACTCCAGAGGTACTTATCATTTTCTAAGTACTACTTTTAATGATCAGTGGATAGGAACAAATGGCCCAATACAGTGGCCTCCCAGATCACCAGATCTAAACCCACTTGATTACTTCTTGTGGGGTTACTTACAGAACCAAATTTACAAGCGAAGGTACGATAACCTTGACGCGTTAAAGACTGCAGTTAGGGAAAAGATAACCCAGATAGATGGTAGGACCATACTTAAGACAGTTCGAGCAGTTGAAAAACGTGCCCAAAAATGTATTGAAGAACAAGGTGGTGTTTTCGAGCATCTTCTTTAAAAAAAAATTGTTATTGTATTTTGTAAGATTATAAGTTGATGTTGAAAATAAAGTTTGTCGATACAATTTAATTGTTTCAGATTGGAGGCCATAACTTCAACAATTTGTAACCTAGGAGAAAAGTTATTGTAAGCTTTTTTGTTTAAAATTTGATGCTTTAACAGAAAAAAATATAATATACAGGGGTTTCCATTTAAAAAAATGTTATTTTACTGAAAAAAATCAAAATAACGACTCTCAATTGTTTTTTTTTATTTCTCATTTTTACCAGCGTTAAAAATGCTACTAGTTTGCTAATTCAAACAACTTTGTATTTTCACTAATAACAAAGTTACTAATGGTGGACACTTAATTTGGATAACCCTGTATATATATATATATATATATATATATATATATATATATATATATATGTATGTATATACATAAAAATTGTCATTGTCCTGACTGTAAAGATCAGGTATTTTTTGTTAGGTTAATATAGCGGAATTCACAGAAACATCACTTTTTTGGATTCAAGGAATCTGTGTTCAAGGTTGCAGTTACGCCCCTAGCGGCCATTTCAGAAACCTGAAAATTTCTTCCAGGTTTTTCACTTGGCCATTTTAGTCAGTACTTTTTTTACCGATGGATAGGTTCCCAGATACAGTATCTCGCATTCTTAGTTGGCCACCGTGTATAGTAAATGGGATTGTGTAGGTACCTACAATACAGTGATATACATAAATATAAGAATACTTTTAGAAGGTTATTCAAACTCTATTATGATTGTTCTTTTTCTTCAGAATGAGATTTTAACTTTAATCTGGTGCATCACTTTGATGGTTATCGACATTTCTCCATCGCCAATAATATCTACCTTAACCACTGCGTATAGGTACTTAAAAGAACAAGAACGTCAATACGGAAGCGTTCAAAACTTAATATCTACTAGCTGTCTGTCCCGCGGTTTTTCCGTTTAGCCATTTTGGCGTGATTGTTAACAAACATCCACACTTTTTCATTTATAATCTTGAGAGAGATTGTGCGTTAAAATTTATTAGAATACAGGATGCTTATCAACATTAGATTTTTATATATTTTAACATTTACAAATAAATAATTGTTTAGATCTAGACAGACGCGGGCAGGCGACTACGTAGACGTAGATAATAATAGTGTGCGCGCGAGGCAAAGGTGGAATACCTATTTTCTCAAGGTACGTATACCTACCTTAATGCAGATATTTATAGTTCATACGTTCCTACTTAAATACCTACTGAAAAGCAGCGATCGAAAATGTCATCGAATATAATATGTAAAAACTACTCACATTATCCTAGATAGCTGGAGTTTCAGCTGCACAAGACGGAGGGAGTAACTTTTCACTTGAATTAAAAATAGGTCACTAAAAACTTTACAAAAAAACTTTCTCACAAGATGGTGGAAATTTGTCAATGCCACCCCGGATCCAGCAATGTTCTGTCAAATAATAAATTTGCATGCACAGATCATAATTCAATATTTCTCATGAAAACCTTGATTACAAGGAAAGGAAGGAAAGTGTTATCTCCAGATTGAAATTAAACTCGGCTTTATGCCGCCAAACGAATACCGTTTCCTTAGCGATTTAAATCAGTTGAAGCCTATAAAGCACGTATAGGCAACCTGATATACGAACAGATTCCATTGATGGAAGATTTACATATTCATTTCATATCCTTGCTCTTCACATTTCTTTATCGATCGAACGTGCTATTATTGCTAGCTGACTTACTTACCATAATAAAAAAACTGTTAATTTTACAAAAATTTCCTATAACAGATCTGCTAGGGGGAGTGTAAGATAGGTTGCCTATGTTTGCGACGTATAAACAGGAGGGAAGGATTTTAAATTTAATTTGGTAAGAATGAGTACTGCAAATAGTAGAATTTCTCAATGTTCTGATACAATTGTGTTCAACGTTTTAACCATATTTAGGTATTTCTCTAAATTTAGCTTGTCCTAGTGGAATTGTTTGAAATGCGAAAGAACCTAAAAGGATGTAAAACAAAAGCGCATCGCAGAATGTCAATATGACATCCCAAATTTTTATCATGACATAACATAACTGCAACTCGTACTCTCATAGCATCCATTCATTACAATTATTAGTAATAAATAGGAGGTAGCAAATATATTATAATGAGTGTGGAACCCATAGATTTTTTTCCTGGCTATAATCCATGCCATACCTGCCAAAGGGAACAGCATGAATCTCCTTGTTTCAGTAAGTTGAGATATTTGCAATATCACAATGATAATTTGAGCTTTATCTGTGAAGAAAGTATGTGTATATAGTTTCAAATTAAACTTGAGATACGGTAAAAAATGTTATATAAAATCATTTCTTTTTCAAGGGATATTAACTCATCTGCTGGCAATGATGCTAGCCATAGGAGTGGTTGGCGGACTATATTTCTGTAAGTTCACTAATAGTTTATACAAAGATAGAAACTTTCTTGTGTAAAGAAGAGTATAAAAAGGGTCTTTTAATCTCAATTTTCAACTCCCCAGTTTTTTGTGGCAAGTCTCTGTTGTATTACCAAAAATTTGAAAAGATACCTTTACAATAAACAACATTTTCTATAGATTTGGAAGATCCTGCCAATTTATTTCAACATACCAATGAAACACCTAGTCTAGACCCCGACAAACTTGAATTACTCTTGGAAGAACTTCAGGCAATAAAAGATAGCTTGGCTAAGACCAATATGTTGAGGTACAGTATTCATCTTTTAGTAAAAATGAATTTTCCCGCTATTTATCCACCTGTAATTATTTTTCTGAAAAAACAGTAAAAACATATCTGCATTTTTTTGTCGCTAATTCGTTCTGTATCTTCTAAGAGCTTGGATTTGCAGAACTGGAGCACTGCAGCTGAAAATGCTGTGTAAAATTCAAATATATCTTTATAACTTAAAAGTGTCTGAAGTCATGGATACAATATTGATATAAGCTGCTTTCTTGTTTCAGGATGCATTTAGATGAGCTGTTCACCAAAATTTTTTTGCAACAGGAGTCCATGATTGAAGAAGTAGTGGCAAAAGCTATAGACAACTATGATGCAGATAAAATTGGACTTTATGGTAAATTAAATCGTTAAAGCAATATATATCCAACTGCCTAAAGGTTTCTGTAGTCCAGCATTATCTGATTTGTTTGTACAAGTAATAAATAAAAAAAAACAGTGATGGGCGTTTACGCGTATACATTAATTGTCTACGTCTCAATGAATACAATGCGTATACAATGAATACAATGTATATGTTACCGGTAATCTGTACAATTCAGGTACTCTATACAAAACCTAGGCAATGTATAGAATACCTGGCTTGCTCAGGCAATGTATGGAATATTATGAATATTATTATCCATTACATATAATTCCTAGGGATTGTATAGGGTACCTGCTGTTCCACCAGCAATGTGTAAAACAAATAGATCTTGGTCTAAATTTATCATTGTTAACCGGCATACCTATAAACTGACGGGTAAATGAAACAGGTTGTATTATTTAAGATCAACTTTATCAAAAAAATTTTTAACTTCCAGATTCTGGGATATTAGACCCCCAAACACCAGTTTATGGAGTAGTACCCCTCTCATTTGGTACCTTACGCTTAGTTGTTTTGGTTTGGATGTTACCTCGTCCATTTGCTTATGGGATTTTAACCTTTAGCGTGGCAAGGCATTGCGGAGAACCAACATTCACACTCTTCCAGTTTTATTTTGTAGCTGTTTTGCAGCTGATATTGCTGGAAGCCACCCCACCCCGTCCACTTGAGCAATACCCGTTCCTTGGTCTCGTCTTATACAATACATACATTACCGGCTGCGCATTCGGTATTGTATAGAATACCTAAGCAAAGTATAACAAATAGGTAATATTCCATACATTACCTACACGTTTTAGGTATTCTATACATTACCTAGGTATTGTATAGAATACCGGATTATACAGATTGCCAGTAACATATACATTGCACATACAATGAATACAATATATACAATGATGATGACAACATTGTCATCATCATTGTATTCTATATTTCTATTCTATACATATAGAATATCATAAGTGAGATTAGGTTTATTAGCAAACGTCAGAAAGCTGGTGAATAGTGAACCGACAACTTAAAAAAAATGGTTGGACACTACAAGAACAAAGGATTCGATGCACTAGGGCTCATTTGTTGTTCTTATTTTATTTAAAACTGTATCTTTGTATACGTATATAAATAAATATTATATATTTTTTCATTATTTATGAACTGCTTCCACAGTCAAACCAATGATGCAATGTTGCAGAATTTGTATCTATCCTGTATTTAGTTCCACCTAAAATCGATCTGGAATTGATCCTAAACAGATTCGACAGAAATGTGTATATGAGCGTAGAAAACAAGGCGTTGCAGCAAGTCACAGTTGTGTTCTGTGGCTTTCATCACTGTTTTGCCAGGCAACGTGGTATGTGGCGCACCCACATAACACCTACTTAGGCGCACCCTTTCTACACAAGTGGTGCCCGCTTCTCCCCCTCTCTCTCTTCCTCCTACACATGGAAAATGGAAATCTAGAAGGGAAAGGGACTTGCGCCAGCACTGTATGCAAGTAGTTGAACAATGATTTGGTATTGTATACATTATATACATTGTATACGTGAATATCGAGACGTATATATTCACCATTGTGTGCGCGTATACCTACAATAGTGTATTATACATGGTGTATACAATGCGCCCATCACTGAAAGAAGCTTATAATTTACATACTTTTTTTTCACGTAACGGCGATTTAGTAACTTACTAAAATCGAAGTTATGAGGCCTCATTGGCATTTGAACTTACAGCATTCTTATATTTTTTACTGTCTAATTTTTTATATAATGAATGAATATTTGAATTTAAAAAAAAAACTATACTCTTTTAGATTATGCTGCCGCATATGCGGGTGGTTCCGTTATCTCCACACCTGGCACCTATCCTTACCCTGCCAATAAAACGATCAGTTTCTTCAGACTGGTGACAGTTAATGTCATGTCCAATCCAGAAGCCTTAATACAGACAGACAACGTACCAGGCAACTGCTTTGCATTTCATGGCAGTTTCGGCAGGATCAGAATCAAACTGGGGACGATAATACAGATCGCTGCTGTCACACTCGATCATAATAAGCTGGCACCAGATAAGACAAGCGCTCCTGAAGTATTTGCTGTTTATGTAAGTATAAAGTAGTCATGATGAATTTGGAATTTTCATCAATAAAAAACGATAGGTAAATGGGCCTGATTACCTTTTTTGTTTGAGTGTTCACCCTCTTATGTGTAAGTGAATTTAAGTGCCGAAGTGTGTCTATGCAGTTTAAGTTTTGTGTTGATAAATTTTAAAATAAACCAAGGATATCATTATTATCTTTTAAAATCTCTTAAATTGCATATTGTTCTGGTGGTACTTCACCTTCATGTGCATAAAGGTATCGAATGAGACAGAATCGTACCTCGGAAATCTGTAAAAAATATGTCTTTGTTACCAATGGTAGCAAAAATTCTGTAATAGTAGCAGCAGCTTCAAGTCCCTTCATCTCAACACTCATATATTTGCAGTTGTGATATTACTAAACTGAAGGTGCTGAATGTGTAGCCACCTCTACACCAACTATAGTGCCAGCGTCAGCGCTTTCATATTGTCAGGTTATGTTTTCTTCTTGAATTGCAGGAAATGTCAGGCTATACAGCAGATTATATAAATCAAAAGCATGAACAATTAGATGCAAATAGATATTGTTTCAAGAGGCATTTTTTAAAGTAGTACATTTTTTTTACTTTCACCACATTCGTCACGGAATTTCACTTGCCACTTTTGGAAGGTATTGCTGGTACGCTACTGATTTCTCTTAAAATGAAAACTATCCATGAAATCCCCGGTCATTTCTAAGCAAATTTGATTGTCCAATTTTTCAATCCGATGCACGGTTTCGCTGAAAAAAGAAAAACCGCTTCTCTGCATGATCACAACTTAATTCGTTCGTCTTCTACCGGATCTAGCCAGTGTTGATGTCTGACTATTCTTCTTCAGTTTTCTCATATTTTCCTTCTCCATTTGGTTCTGTCTTTAGCTAATCCTTCTGCTGCTTTCCAGCCAAAATGTATTTGTACCCCTATATTTTGTCATTCTACTTCGTCTTGTCTTTTCCTTGAATTTTCTCATTCTCCAGACTCTTTTCGTCAATCTTGTATTTGGTATTCTAATGCTGTGTCCAAACCACCTTAGCGTATTCACTTATATTTTGTCAACGAATGTGACACCGAATCTTCTTATATCTACATTTCTCACTTTGTCAATAATCTTCAGACCCCCAGTTATTTTTAACACATTTATTTGACTAGTTTGTATTTTCTATCCGTCTTTTATGCAATATCAATTAAAAAGATTCAAGGGATCAAAGCTGCTCATAATTAAATACGGATGTTATTTTTTCATTTTAAGAAAAGTCAATGGCTTACCACGACTGACTTTCTGTGTTGAACACTTTACCACCCTGTATCTCAAGAGTTAGGCCGTTAGTATATAGTTTCTTTTTGAAATGGACCCAAAATCGCCTCTTTAAATACTGACATTCGATTAAGAAACACTGTATACCATTTCGTCTTATTTTAGGGCCTAAAAGATCCTGATGAAGATCCTGGCACCCTCCTAGGGCAGTTCACGTTCAACATTACTGGTAGAACATCCCAAACTTTTCCTATTCAGCCCTGTAAACCTGGCCCCTGTGCAAGACAATTCGGCTATGTTGAACTGATTATAATGAGCAACTATGGTAAACCGGAGTTCAGTTGTGTTTATAGATTCAGAGTTCACAATACTAATTTTAACCAAACTAAAACAGTTATATGAGTGTTTTAAATAAACGGTGTATTTAAGCCAACAAATTGTATATAATATAAAAATTGTTCATTATAGAATATAAGTAACATTTGAAACTCATCCTGTAGTTTACATGTCGATAATCCCCCATGCCTGTCTAACCAACAAAACCACATGAATCTTCTTTAATGTAAACGTTTCATTCACAAAGCTACAATGACAGATACAAAATATTGTCATTGTACTGAAGATTACCTTTGTGATTGAAACATTTACAGTAAAGATCATTCTGTCAATACATGTGATTTTGTTGGCCAGACAAGCAAGGTAGGTTATCGGGAATATATGTCTTTTAAAATATATGAAGTTTAGTTATGATTATAGACAAGGTCAATATTAACTGCCAGTACACATGGGCGTACACACGGCGCATTTTGCAGCGCGTCGAATTGGATGGGCGATGAAACGCGTCTCGTCTGAACAAGTAATTGCGCGTATCAACGCGCATTGTTTACAGAGCGATAATTTAACGCCCACGTGTACCGTCGGCAACTTATAACAAATAACGTTAACTTGACTAAGGCTACTGTATAAACAACATGTATGGTTTCAATAGTCTGTATACATAGATATATAAAGTTATAATACCTCAATCTTTAGCGTTACATACGATTTTTCCATAAACGTAAAATAATCATAAATTTCTGTCAGTAAAATTAACAACTATTTATGGTACCTATATACCTAACAGACATTTTTCTTGATAAAAACTTCCATGAAATCACATGTTGAATAACTAAAAACATATTTGGCCTTAATGATATCACTAGCCATTTCAGCTAACATCATAATACTGGCATATGGGTTTGAACTGGGCAATGTTGGCAACACTGATCCGTCCACCACAAACAGCTTGTTCGTACCTATAATGAAAAATGGTATCAAACAGCATATGTCTAAAACAATAAGAGCTGGATGTGTATCATGATTATTTCCAATAGGCATATAAAGAAATAATTTGCAAGCAATGTTTGACAGTGGGGTTTTAATTATTGGATAGAGAAAAAGCGATTTATCAGATTCTGGGATTCTTACTGAAATACGAGATTTGTTACCTTTGACTTCAAAATTATAGTTAAGTACTGTTGAGCTATCTTTTTCGTGACCCATTTTACAGGTTCCTACAGGGTGGTATGATGTAATAGTCATATGTCGCACATAGCATTCCCAGTAGGAGTCTGTGTCGAATTCATGAGATTCACAGCCTGAAAAATGACAATGAAAAAGTCGGTGCTATAGAACGTTGTCATCGATAACACAATTTCACAGAAAAAATAGGTGTGTGCTGGGGGTTCCATGATATTTTTCCATGTATTTTTCCCGCTAAAGTCAGAATTGGGGGTCGATAAACAAATATGACAACTTCGACGTCCTTGATACACAATTCACATTCACCAGAATACCTAAATCTATAATCCCGAAGTCGAAGTTACTTTCATACTTGTCCACTAATTATGTGATGAAAGAGTTTAATCAATGACAGTTTTCTTACCTGGGAAAATAATGCTATTGAATCTAGCCCCAAACTTATGCATTGTCTTTGTAGCTATCAGTCTCTGAATATATCTAACGCCCTTCACTAGCAAATCTACATCTTCTTTACGACTCAAATACCTTGGATTAATCACTGGGTTACTATCAATGTTCTTGTCCCTCAGTCTAATGTATCCTCTACTTTTAGGATGCAACAGTACTGGTAAGAAGGTAACTGTGCTCTCATTATATAGGGCAGCGAAGTACCTAGAATTTTTGCAATGATTCACCTAACTTTGGAATCATGTTCTACTCTGAAAGTTGATGCACTGGCGGTAGAATGGACAAGGAAAATAATACTGCGACCCTCAGTTTTATATTTTACCTGTTCCATGAATAATCACTTATACCCATCAATTTCCTAAGATGAAATCCTGTATCTTCCACAATTCCCAGTGGCATTATCATCAGTTGCAAGTCTGGCCTGTTGGAACTATTTTCGTAAGGGATCTTTCTAGATGCTTCTATGAAACCAACTAGTTCGCAACCAATAGTAGTCCAAGGGCCTCTACCTTAAAATGATCATAATGGAATATGCTATCTGGTTAGTAAGTGCTTGCTTATTTTTGAAATAGTAGAACGAATATTTCTAGAGGAAAATATTGGATATATTGTTTTAATGTCGAATTCATAGCAAGACACACTATAAAAATAATCTGGAAATGATATCAGCGCGTGATTCTCCAAATCCAAATCACTGAACGTACGGGTTGGCGTAAAATGAAGGTTATGGTTAGAGTTCTTTATAAATTTGTTATTTTTATCTAAGTGATCATTAAAAAGAATATGTTATGCAAATTCGCTATAGTATAGCACTTGGTGTAACCTCCCAATAGAAATATCAGTGAAGCAATTGGCAGTTTTGATGATGTTCTAAGCTTTCTAATGTCTAGTTTCGATCATGTCGTTCTTGTTGGCGATATGAATATTAAACTATTGGTGGAATCTATTGATCAACCCTTTAGAATAACAAAATATTCAAGTAATTTATTAGATCCGATATTATTATCAGCAATTCTCAAATAAGCTACAATTCTGGTGTTTTAAACAAGGACATATTCAGTGATCATTATTTTAGTTCTTTGTGAGACAACTTGGGAGTCCACAAAGCTCAAACAATTTTTTTTAAAATCTAGAGATTTTAAACACATTACCGACTTTCAGAATGATGTTCTCAACTATCCTTAGATAGTATATATTATTTTAATGAGATTGATGACAAAATCACATATTTAACATTTATTTTTTATAGACATGCACATTTGAACTTTGTACGCGTAAATAAATGACATTCTCCTTGGCTCACTCCTTAACTCAAAATTTTAATGAAAAAGAAAAATCTGAGCTCTGAGTCAGTTTATAATTGATAAATCGGCAGAACAACAACTAAGAAATTCAACATTGGCAAAAATCAGGAGTTATCCTATAACACTTTGAAATCTATGCGTGTGCTGTTACGACCATTTAAGAAACCCAGATGAATTTTTATTGATTACTTCCGTTCATTTTATAACAATAATAATTGCTCATGTAATGAGACGATGATTGCACACTAGGATTAAAATTATTATTCTGATAACAGCTTTAGTTTTAGACCAATTGATATAATAGAATTAGATTCATACTTTCGATCCATAAAATCTAACGCTTTAGGAAGTGACGGTGTATCGGTTTAGGATGCTCAAATTACGTTTTTCTGTTATATCTCCTCCTATGCTACTCCATGTCATATCCTCCATATTATAAATTATTGCCTAATGAATGGACGATATCCTGAGACATATAAAAAAGCACTTGCATCACCTCTTGCAAAAACTGGTAGTCCCGCATCATATGCTGATCTGAGACCGACAATATTGTTAGAAAGTGGGATCAGGCCATGATAACAACACTAGCACTTCTTGATTTTACTGAGGCATTCGAAACTCTAAATCATCGTAAACAACTTGATAAATGTAAATTTTAGTGTTTTTTCGAATCATCTATTAATATGATAAGTGTTTTTTTTGCAACTCGCTCTCAATACTAGATACTACTGATATGGATGTGTCTCCTAAGTGTGCCATTTCATCTAAAGTACCCCAAGGTTCTGTACTCGAACCATTATTATTTAACTTATATATCTATGACTTTCATGCATTCATTAAACATAAATATAAAAATAGTAAGCCACTGTTTTTTTTGGAACGCGCAATTTTTCGAATTTCACCCTCAATTTGCTACTAATAATTACTCTTGTTTTTTCCAAGATTGCATTGTTTTCGTAAAAATTAAAAACAGCAAATTAGATAATCAAAGCTTTATTTCAATAAATGTTCAAAAAGACCACCATTCTGACGGGTACAAATGCGGCATCTTTTTAATAAAGAAAAACGTATTTCCGAAAAATTTGTTGTGGCTCAAATTTGATGAAACGCATTATCTATTATTTTTTGTAACTGATCCACAGTATTAATTTGTTCAGCATACACTAGTTGTTAAAAGCTCCCCACAAAAAGAAATCCGGAGGGTTCAAATCAGGAGACCTCAATGTACGAATCCGTTTCTGCCAATCCATTGTTGTTTAGCAATTCTATATTGCTGAAGTCCTAGAAATGAACGTGTCAAAACCTTTAGGGTAGGTTGACGTCTGTTAGGAAATCTACGTAGATACTCCCGAGAAGCCGCTAAAGCATTTCCATTACTGAACCCATACGCAAAAATAATATCGGCGTACTCATCATTGCTAAATTCCATTTCACAACACTCAAAAATAGAAAAAGGATTTTGATCGGTTATTTTCATTTGAACCTGTTTCTGAAGCCATTGTTTACAAATATCTTTATGAAATAAAAACTCTTGCAACTGGGGCGGATGGTATTAATATAGAAATGCTACTTTTATGCTGTCCACACATTTTACCAGCCATAACGCATATTACTAATTGTTGCCTAATAGAAAATACTTTTCCAGACTGATAGAAAGTTGCAAAAGTTCATCCTAGGCACTATATCTAGCTTGTCGGATCTTCGTCCAATTTCTATATTACATGTGCTGTCTAAAGTCCTGGAAAAAATATAAAATTTCAGTAAATGCTTTATAAAGATGAATATGATTTGCCGCCTTCATTTCAGTCAGGGTTTCGAAAGGGTTTTAGCTGCACGAAGGCTCTATCTCCATTGCTTTTACAGTATACTCTACAAATGTTACTAGTAGTTTGATATATTCAAAGCCTTATTTATATGCTAATGATACACAGATAAAATTTCTGTTCTCTCGAACAGATACAACAACTGCGGTTACATTATTAAATGAAGATCTTAGTAATTTGACAAATGAAAGTATAGCACATCAGTTATCTGTAAATCCTACCAAGTAAAATGTTTTATTGTTGGGCAAACACAAAATGAGCATGGCAGATTAACTCCATATTTCAATTAATAATAATGTTATTCCTCATACATCCGCTACTAGGAATTTAGGCTTGATTATGGATAGTGACCTGAGGTTTTTCAGAGCATGTTGATAAGTGCATTGGCTGTGCTTATGGTCGGCTTAAAATGGTGTTTCCACATCGTCATATCTTTTCTACCGAACTTAAGGCTCTGCTTTGTGGCACGCCTGTTCTGTCATTATTCAATTACTGCGACTCAGTTTATGGGCCTTGTATAACAAGGTATGATGATGATCGTATACAGCGTGTCCAAAACTCTCTTTTGAAGTAAAAAATTTGAACATATTTCTTATAAGTTACCTGTAATCGGATGGCTAAATATGGAAACCAGGAGAAATCTGCACTCTGCAGTTTTGTTTCATAAAATTATTCATATAAAACTCCGCCTTATTTATATAACAAGATAACATTTCGAAGTGATGTTTACAATATCAATGTTCGGTATCGGAAGCTGATTTCCTAACCACGTCATCGTACATCTAGTTGTTTTTCTCATTTTATCTACCACTTGTACAATCACGTCCCCACAAACCTTAAGTCTATGTCAGCTTTTAAAAGAAGTTACAGAAAATTCTTTCTTTCCTTTTTATATTTTAAATTTATTTTTTTGTTTGTTAAATCTGACGTAACTAGTTGGGATGTTGATGTATGCAGTGCAAGGTGATTTTTTTCTGTAATTAGGAAGTTTTCTATAGTCGAAAATACTGCCTGTGTTACTTGCATCTGATAATATAACTAGTACCTTTGACAAATCCGAAAGAATTATTCCAATCACTTTAAATTTAAGGAAGTTATGGCATTTTCTGTGTTCGCTGCTGTAGCCGATTGGCCTCGCGCGTCGAGTTTCGGTAGTGACGTCACATGACGGAACGTCCCACGTCGCAGTGAAGCGATCGGACGACACGACGGCATATCGCATACATACTTAGCTCTCAAGCTGACAAGACGTAATTTATTGTTTGATTCTTGGCGTAGACTGTTGTATGGTAGTATAGGTATAATAATTAAAATGGAAAAAGGTCTTTTACCTGCCGATTCCACAAATCGTTTGAAAGTGGACATAATAATGGTAATGAATTTCTTCACAAACAATCCACTTTATGTCAGTAGGGAAATACCTAAGTAAATAGTATGATTTATTCTATATAACTCTGATGACGTGAACCCATTTTTTTATAAAAGTGTGTCAGTGGCGGGGTATTATGGATGATTTTATTTGGCTTTATTAATTGTATAAATAGAAGGAAATGAAACCATGCTTTGCATGCATCAAATAATTTAGGATGACCCAAACTCCAGCGAATACGTTTGATAAATTAATAATAAATTCAATATCGCGCAGTGACCAGAAAATCAACTTGATGGCCGTCCGCTGTTGACTCACAGCATTTTAATAGTTCTTTCGTAGCACATCATGATGTCCATTTATTAACCAGGAGTAGAATCAATGATTTGTTATTCATTTTTGGATATTGCTATTTGGCTGTTGTCATTATAGGTCTGGAAGAGACACTTATGGAGAAGAGGCGATTGGTTATATGCAGTTAAAAAGAAAACGCCATATCTGTATTTTAAAAGCCAGCATTCCTTCCTCATTGGTATTTATCCGTGTTTCCTTTATAGAGTAACTATGTGACCGTATATAACGTTTTACTAAATTCTAGACTCCTTATTAGAGTTTTATGTAGTAAATGAGTAACTATATTTAACGTTTTATTATATTTTGTCTATATTTTTGTATTTTACTTTATTGCGTTTTATTATACCACGTATATGGCTGATGTCTTTGCTATATCAGGTCCAATTGTATTTTTCCTGTGATTGTATGTACTCCATTGGAATAAAGTTTATCATTATTGATGTTAAGAAATGTTGAAGCATTATTCGATTTTGAGTAACAGTAATCGAAACTAGACTTTCTTGTAAGCCTTCACGTAAATGTTCTACCTGTCAGTGCTACGTATTGTCTTACAGTGCCATGAAGATTTAATATTGCCCTTTCCTGCCAAAGATATATGGAATGTGATGGCTTATTTTGGGTACTGAATGTTCCTAAGACTTAAAGTTGCAATGATGTGCACGCTGAGATAGAACATGCACAAAAATAAAATACAGCACAATGATTCGCGGTATACCGCTTTATATCAGATTCCCGATACCTTCTTTATAGGATCCTAAAAAATAAAGAGTAACATTTGAAAAACGGTCATTTTATAAATAATTCAAACCATAACGTCCATTTTCCCTTACAGTCCAAGATATATATGAACAAACTATTATATGTATAATGTTTACTTTTACCTTCTCGGAAATAATTCAAAGGGGATGAAGGTGATAACATTGTTCCAATCCCAATATCTAGAGTCTTATTCAATAATACAAGATCAAATCCAGTAGTGATATGATCTTGCAAATTTTCTCCAACTGGTAGGTCGATTCTTGGAACTATTCCCAATTCCTTCAAATGTTTCTTTGGACCCACACCTGACATCATGAGTATTTTTGGCGTATTTATAACACCAGCTGATATGATGATCCCTCTAGATGCCTTTGCTGAATATTTGTTTCCAGAGTACAAAAATTCAACGCCATACGCCTCAAAGTTGTCATGGAATTGAATTGAATCTACCATCGCGTCTGTGCGAAGCAGAACATTTGATGGTTTGGAGTATATGAAATGACTAGCACTTGTCCATCGCTTTCCATCAATAACGTTTACTTTTGGGATGCCAAAACCTAAAATAATCCGCCAAAAGGTTTCACCACAATTAAAATAATGCCAAGGGTATTAGAAGCACGTTTGTACTTTCATGCGTATACTGTAAGATTGTAGCATTTTTCTTGAAAATTGTTAGCAGTTTCCTGTTGGTACATAAGATTTACTGTGAACAAATACCATAACAGATTCCTGCTTTTTGTTTATAGATAGATATTTTCAGATCAGGTATTAATGAATTGTCTGACACTGTCTATGTTTATAAAATGTACAATTGTACAACAAAATAAAAAGGCAACATAAGATCAGCTGAATCTATGTAGATTCCCCTGTAATTTTCAGTAGCACTTAGTTATGAGGCATGCATACCTTGTTTAACTGTCCTTATATTATTTGCTCCCTTGGAGCCCAACTCCTTCACAGCTTTAAGTAGTACCCCAGGTAATTCGGTTATATATGGTAAGTCATCAACAAATATGGAGCCTGCAGTATTACCTAAAAAATATCTACTAATTCCAAATTAATTGAATCACATATAGCATGTAAAAATTTCATACCTGAGGATATCTCCAATTTTTCAAAATATGGTAAAATATCTTTGGTATAGTCATATCCTTCTTTATCTTGAAACCATTCATTATAGTCAGAAGCATGTCCTCTTATATAAATTAGATTATTCAACATACTTGTACCACCAACAACCCTCCCTCTTGGCCAGTGGCTTACCTAAACCCCATATACAGTTAAAAGTTACTGTTGTTGATAAAGAAGTAAAAAAATATGTCTAGTTGTCAATCTAATCCTACTAAGAAACAATACATATTTGTTCTTTTGATAGGAAAATGATCCTCTCTACCAAGTGGGCAAGGAAAAGGAGAAAGATGGAATGCAAGTCCGAGGAGTCACCAGGCGACCCCTCCATCACTGCGAGTGAAGCAGAACTAAATAGCAGCTTACCCGAGAGGTTGGACAATACGAACCCTAGTGAGACTTTGACAGCTGAGCAGAGGAGAGCAGAGATTGAAAGAGACACCTAAAAGAAGAGACTGCTCCAAATCATCGCTTACCAGGCAGCTCAAATCAAGGAACTGACGCACTGCGTGGACAATCTCAATGCCCAGGTTTTTAACCTTACCACTTCTTTAAGTCAATCCATGTTCCATGATGACAGCTCTATTAAGACTCCCAAAAGAAGACACAACAGCCCTACCTCATTCACAGAGACAGAAGACAATATACAGGATCGTGATTTTACCGCTATCCTGAGACGTAAAAAACGACAGATTCGTTAAATTAACGAATATCCTTCCCTTCCGACTAAGAAATTCCCAATCAATACAAATTCAATGGACATAACACCGCCTATGTCTGTTTCCTCTTCTGATTGTGCATTCCATCCAAAGCACTCTCAAATTCAAGCACCTAGCTTAAACGAAAGTCGCAACTCCATTTCAGTCTCACATGCGGCTTCCTTGGCTGGCAGCAACATTACCTCTCCATCAGCTAATGCTGCCCTCGGCACGCAGGCACACTCGCCCCATCAAAGGCGTGTTACACCTGTTGTGCTGCGGGATGCGGCGCACTGTCAATTATTCTTTTATCTATCTTGGTATTAAGATTGCTCGAGCAGTAGCTGTTGATGCTGGGATACGCACCGTACCTAAAAGAGAAGACGATTATCGGAAGATAATTCGTCTTTTCAAAGAGGAAAATGTTCCTCACCATACATTTCCTCTACCCTTTGAGCGTCACATCCACGCTATTATCAGAGGAGTCCCAGCGTCAGCTCCTGAGCAGGAAATCAGAGAGTAGCTCGAACAGAAGGGATATACTCCCCTCCATGTAATTCGCTTGAAGCGCAACGGCGGCGTGTCCATGCATTTGGTGGTGGTGATCCTGCCTAAAACAGAGAAGTCACAGCAAGTGTTCAATGGATATGAACTGCTGGGGCTATCTACCAGAGTTGAGGTCCAAAAGACCTCTCGGCTCATTGGGAAGTATCACCGCTGTCAGAAGTATGGACACGTGCAATCGAATTGCACTGCACCTCCAAAGTGTCTCAAATGTGCTCAAGACCACATGACACATCTGTGCCCTCAAACAGGACGCGCAAATGTGCGCACTGCGGAGGGGACCATCCGGTCAACAGTTTGCAGTTGAAAATTAGTCACCTGATAAGCGCTACACAACCCTCGCAGGCAATCTTTCCGATAAATGGCTAGGTACAATAGTAGACAGCCTGCATTCATCAAAATTCTTTTTTGGAATTTTTTGGGTCTTAGGGACATTCATAAAAAGCGGATGTCATCTACTTTGCAATATATAGAAACTGTAGATACAGATCATGTATGACATTTCTAACGATCATCTTCCTGTCGTACTGGAAGTGGGTAATCAGCAAACCTTAGATGAGGGAACTCCTCCAAGGAAACAGGTTGATTGGGAACTATAGAAGTTGCTTCTTAGAGAGTTCAGCAATATCCCGATCATAGATGATCAGAACGGTATAGATGCGGATCAAGCAGAGTGGACAAGTTTCGTTCAGCAAGCTCTGCAGCGTGCAGCTGTACTTCCTGCACAGCAGCACCTTTTCTCCCTGCAAACATTCGTCAGAAAATTTCTGACAAAAGAGCTGCGATTAAGCAAGTGAAAAGTTTTTGTTACTCTGATGACATTCGCAGAGCGACGAATCTTGTTCATGAAGTAATAAATCTCCATGAATTCCGCAAGGAGCATGGAACGACTTTCTTTCGGGAATGCTTGACTCAAGTACTCCTCTCTGGAAAGTAGCGAAGTCGCTCAGAAACGGAAAGCGAAAACAACTTCCGCACATCCATGATCCTGGGGACCTAGTCTTCAGGATTCTCGGGTCGAGCTTTTCGCTGATGCTCTGAAGCGACAGTTCTCTCCCAACTATGATTTTGATAATGATCTCGACGAGGAGCATGAAATTGTAAGAGTTTAGGGCCAACGGCGTCAGTGATCCCGGCGCCGTCATTAGAGATTCTTCCTCGGAAGGTTCTTCAACTGAGCAGCACAACAGCTGAGCTTCAGGATCATATTAAAGACCTCAAGGTGCGTAGAGCACCTGGGGGGAGGATCAAATCACTAATAAGCCGCTGAAATTGATTTCACCGAAGTCCTTGACTCGTCTCATGGCTATTATCAATGCAATGCCAGTACTTTCCATCGGCGTGTAAGACTGCGGAAGTTATAATGAAGTTCGGCTATACAAGACAGTTATCAGACCAGAAATTACTTACACATGTGCAGCATGGTGTTTTCTCACCAAAACCTGCAGGTTTTGCAAAACAGAACCTTGTGAACCACCACTAACACACCATGGTATGTCTCCAACGAAACCCTTCATAGAGACCTCAACATCCCTTACCTAAGGGACTAAATCTAACAACAGGCGCAGTTATGTTATAGTCAAGCGGAATCGCACAGCACATTGCTATGAAATAAAGATCATCATCATCATCATCAGCAACCATCTGTTGTGTGAGTCAGTAGACTATACAGTCAAGCAAATCAAATCATGCAATTCTAGGTCCAACCAAAATTACAATTTTTTGCCACACACAGATTCCTAAATTAATTTTTGGATCAATATAAGATAACCAAATACCAGTTACAAAAGCAAGGCACCCATCTTTGCTCTTCCCCCTTTCTTCCTTTATTTCTCCCTGACTTTGTCTGGTATCTGGGCAACCAGACCTGACAGACCTACTGACCTATGATACTATAACCAAGAACAAAAGTCCCATGGACTGCTCTGATGGACAATGATGAATGATGAATAGAAGAACATTCTTCAAGAAAATGATTTCAGTATATCTCTTGTTGATCTTCAATATAAACCATAACACTGCCTGCAGAAACAAATGTAATGTCTACAGTCTATACTGAATTTATTAGAGTGTGTTCAGAAAGTGAGTGAGTGGTCCTTAATCATTCAGTTACTGTGTGTGCACTTATTTCATATGGCATTTGAAGTAATTATCAAAAATCGTTAAAAGAACAATACTTACATTGTCATTTAAAGCAAAACAAGATGTTTCTTGTGGTACAGTCTTGTATTGCCAGTCATACTGGGTCCCTTGTAAAACAACACCTAGTGAGGGTATCTCTAGTAGTTTAGTTGCATGTATTCCAGCCTCAAGTACCAAAACATCCACATTCTTGTCTTCGGCTAACCTTCTAGCAACTATAGCGCCAGCTGACCCAGCTCCAACTAGAAGACAATTTGCTTCCTACAACATCGATCCGACATACAGTGCATTACTTACCTACAATATAATCATATATTTTCTCAGTAAAATCAACTTCCATGGAGCTTTCGGAAGTGAAATACTCCGTAAAGTCCAAATAGTCGATAAATGCATGGAAAATCGTAAGTATAATCAGGTAAATTATGGACAAAATGTATCTTTTCAGGTACATTGTTGAAAAGTTTCAAGGATTTCATAATTGAATTATATTTATTTTAATCCATAAATCCATATTTTGATTTGAACAATTGTCAGCTTGACAGCCTGACAACCTAACCTCAAATCAGAAATTTTGACAACCTTGACCTTGGTCGGTGGAGCCTCACGCAGCAGCTAGTGATGGACCAATTTCAAATCAAAATATTCGGGAATCAGATACAACGCTGCATGTGAAATGCTAGGTGAAATATTCTAATCTAAAGTACCATAAAATGTCATTGTTTCATAATTCCATAATTAATCGAAGTTATTTCCTATGCTATGGTTCAAAGCCTTAATGAAAGGAGGACTAGAGTACAGCACATCTCTAGGATAAGCACGCAAACTGTTATCGAGGTTTATTATGTGGGTTGCAGAGAAATGAAAATGGAAACGTGATGGAAAGTGGGTCAGTCAACATTCAAAGGCAAAGGTTCAAAAAATGAATTCCAAAAAAGCACTTCGTCATGTTTGATCGTCTATTTAAACCAGCACCGTAAGTTCTCGAACATGTTACACAACATTGATGTTACAAATTCCTTATTTGTCATTGTTGTAACCCCATTAATAATTATTCTAGATGGCAAGCAATGCCCAAGAGCAAGATTGCCGCTATTGCTGCGAGATTTGTGCACGCGAATTACTGACTGAGGAGGATCTTAGAACCCATAGACAAAAGGGACATGGGTATGGAAAAGCAGTGTGCCCCTTCTGTGAACAATGTGAAGTGTCACAAGAGCTTGAGATTCATGTGAATCGAGCTCACTTGGATTTTCTTACACCAGAAACAGAGCACAATATTACATTCATAGATGATCCTAGTCCTAGGTACTGGGTTTACTCATATGATGCATTGCACCTATTGATTTTTTGATTCATAGTTTTACATGACATACTAGCACAATATAAGGATTGCTTATTTTCTTGTAATATTTGTCCAATTTTAACAAATATTGTTCCACCCTCAAACTGCTTTCCACTGCCCTTTTTTTTATAAATCAGTTAGTTAACTGTATGTGGGAGAGATGGAAGATTCAAAAGTAAGGTTATTCTAATATTAATAAAATGTTCCGATTAGTAGATCTATATAATGTTGGACCAGCGAAAGATTGCAAGCCGAAAGAATGCGGACAAAAAATTGCGAAGTTGTCAGATGTTCTACATAAAATGCGGTCCATACATATTAACATATTTAAGATATAGAATTGTTCCGCTGAATTTGGCAATGTAGCTGGAAAACCCAGGCCGCAGGTAAACATCCGGTCGCTGATTGGTCCAAAACTCTTATCTTATCTGAAACTAGAATAACGTGCCGATGGCACGGTCATTTATAAACCTACTCCCATAGGCGTAGGCAGTTGGCAAATACTTTGAAAATATAATTTACTGTTTAGTGGTGATAATGGAATTCAAGCATGGGAAAGTTATTCACAGCCAGGCAAGGGAAATAATAGCAAACGTGATACGTGCTTGCGATGCAGAAGCGGCTAACAATACTTTCGTTTATCCACTGGTAGCTAGAAATGCAAGGGCGGCATATTATACGGGTGTTAGTGAACGAACTATAAGTAAAATTAGAAAAGAAGATAAAGACAGGCAAAATGCAACCTCCACACAGCCTTTAGCTTCTCCCGGAAAAAAGAGATCACGCCCTTCTGTGATCCAAAAAATTGATGGAGTCGATTTTTCCATTATTCGGAGAATGATAGAAAAATTTTACTGTGATTTTAAAGTGGTACCTACTTGTAGTAAACTTCTAATCAAACTGAAGGAAGAAATGGAATTTCCATTTGGTAAAGAATCGTTGAGGCTGCTTTTAAAAGCAAAAGGATTTTACTGGCGTAAATGCCACAACAAAAGGAAATTACTAATGGAAAGACCCAGTATTTTACATTGGCGATACAAGTATCTTAGGTCTATTAAAAAGTTCCAGGAAGAAGGAAGGCATATTATTTATTTGGACGAAACTTGGGTTGATAATGACCTCACTTTCAAGAAATGCTGGCAAAGCGAAGAAATTATGGGTGTCCTGAGCAATATAAGTTCTACAGGTAATAAAGTTTCTTTCACCTCGATTTTGCTTATTATACATTTTTCTCAATTTTGGAATATTCTTAATAAGTGCTCATTTAATTTGTCTAATTGAATACATAATCCCTTGCAAGTATTTTTTTCTCAAAAATATGTTTTTTATACATAGTGATTCAAAAAGGTGTTGGCAAACTTAAAATAACACTAAAATGAGGCTATTTATTCATTTCCAGGACGACTTATAATTGTTCATGCGGGTTCGCAAGATGGTTTTGTTCCTGGAGCCTGTCTCATTTTCAAGGCTGGCTGTGCCACTGGTGATTATCACGGTCAAATGAACCAAGAAAATTTCACGAAGTGGCTTACTGAAAAACTATTTCCTAACATTCCTCCTAATAGTATTATAATAATGGATAATGCACCTTACCATTCAGCTTTGGAAGACAAGCCTCCAACTAGATCTTCTCTAAAAAGAGACATCATCACGTGGTTGAGCAAAAAAGGTATAGAGCATGATCCTAATGCTAAAAAAATGGAGCTTTATGAAATAGCTTGTCTACATAGGCCACCATCTGATGAGAAAAATTATAAGATAGATAATTTAATAAGAAGTTTCGGACACACCCCACTTCGAACGCCACCCTATATGTGTCAGTTTAATCCCATAGAGATGATTTGGGCACAAGTAAAATTTTTCATTAGAAGCCATAATACAAGCGGCGAATTTACTATAAAAAAACTAGATGAAATTTCTAATAAGGCCATCGCTTCAGTAAGTGCCAGTGACTGGCAAAAGGTTATTGGACATGTTATAAAAATTGAAGATGAATATTGGGAAAAAGACAGTCTCATTCAAGAAATACAGGAAGAAATAATAATCAACATAGGAGGTGAAAGTGATAGCAATGACAGTTCCTCAGACAGTGATCATGACTCTAATCAGGATTGAAACTATACTAGATTGGCTACCTTTTAGAATTTTTAGATATTCATTTATTATACTATTGGTTTGTGGCTTTTAGTATCTCAGTAGAAAGTCTAATTCTATGTGTTGTTTATGGGTTATTTCATCAAGAAATTACTTTTTGTTTTCCTATATTTTTCTATTCAGTCAGATATTTTTGACTTGTTGTATTCTATTTTAGAAGAATGCATAATTTGTTTTGCTGTTCAATCATAATGCGTACATAGGAATATTACTTGTTGCCTAAAAAATATATTTATTTTGTTCTCAATATTCAGTGTTTGTGTATATTTATTTCTTATAATGTATGTTTGGTATCACGTCATTATGAATCGCAAAAAAATATTAATACTACCAGTTGTAATAAAATATAAATTCAATTAATAATTCAAGTCTCTCCGATCTCCGCCTATGACTCCATATAAAATCGTCTAATGGTAAGGTTTTTTCATCGCATTTCCCCCTTTCGTCCCTAGCAATCTTTGGCTGGTCGATCAGTAGATAGGGGCAAATAAAAACCTAGAAGCAGCAGTATAGCTAAAATTAGTAGGGGTATGGAACAAATTACTTTTGGGGACATCTCTGCACTGGAAGAGGGCCTTATGTCACATTTTGTGAATTATTTGAAACATAATAATAATTAAGCATTTATTGCCATACAGGTACCATTTAGAGAGCAATACATAGTACAATGGTTGAATTTACACAGTCTGTGTGTCATAAAGTGAAACAAAAAAAAACACAGAAAAGAGAAAGGCGCTTTAAGTAGAGAAAAAATAAACTATAAATATGATCAATAGATATTAGGAAACCAGAATATACTCATATATACATAAATATCCATATACACATACATACATATATATATATATAAAACAAACGAAAACCCCTAGAGAAAGGCGTGAACATGTCAAAGATGTGAACGTATGGGAACCTCTGACCTCTAGGGCTGCCTCAGAGCACCACTTTATTTTACCCTAATATGGCATGCAAGTCCAACTTTGGTGTATGAGTCAAGATTCTTGAAGCAAGTGCTATAGAATATCTCTCCTATATTATCCTATAAGCATTGAATTCAAATTGATTGTTTTCTTTTCAATATCACCCTAGTAGTAGAAAATTTTTTGCTACATTGATTCTTTTTATTTTAGTGAATACAATGGAATTAATGGAGAGAATTGTGAGAACAATCATTACAATTTTCCATCATACTCAAATAGCAATCAAAATCAATTAGAAGCTAGAAGTAGTGTCAACAATATCAATATAAGCCCCAAGGTATGTAATAGGTATATCATGCAACATTGTTTTTGGATGAAAAGCTTATACAATACAAAGTATGCGAACAATTTCATAAAAAAAATATTCCACCATTTATTTTCTCAGATTGATTTATACAAAAATTCTCCTTTGTTTATTCTGGCATGTATTCCTGTGCAAAGTGGTTCATTTTTTAAACTCAAATCTCATGCATATCTGTGATCTAGACATAGACCTGTTACTTTTAGGCATATCAGCTACAGTGTGGTTTCGAATAAGATACTAATTTGACAATTAGACAAAAAATATAGCTTTCATTCATCTGACCACTAGCAGCCACCTATGGGCAGATGTTTCATGGTGTTTGGCAACTCTTCAACATGATGTATCCTTCATCCTAGTAGACAACAAATGAAACCTGAGTAACTCTATTCATAGTATAAGGTCTGTCTGTTGGAACTGTATGCCAGTTTGTCATGTCTGCTGGGTTACCATTGTGACCACTAAATGCCTCCGATTCTGGTGCTATATAGTAGATGAGGTCTACTTGCCATTGAAAAAACTAGGAATATAGCTTTCATACGTCCAACCACAGGCAGCCAACCATGGACAGCTGTTTCGGGCTATTTGGTAACTCGTCAGCATGGTCTAGGCTTGGACTTGGTGGACAGCGAACAACAACTTAGCATCTCACGGCCAAGTGACTCATTTCCTACCTCCATTTTGCTTTTTTATGCTTTACAATTTGTTGCATGATGGTTACATTCAAATTCATTGCTCTAAATTACCTAGGTGCACTAAGTTTGATTTGCTTGTAATAACTGTAGGCGAAAACCGACGATTTGCTATGTACTTTTCAAAAACCTCTACATATCTGTAATTTGAACTAAAATCCGTTCTTCAAGATAATTGGCTGTGTAGATTCTTAATATCCATTTATTATGTCAAATTCGGCGCTCAAGGTTTTTTAACAGTTATATATTCTAATTCTGCACCCCAAAATAAGAAGTAGGTATACTATTTTCATTCATTTGTAATAACTCTCAATAAAAATGGAAAAGTTGCCTTGTAAGCACATCTGATAATGAAAATAATTCAAGGACTCCTCTGTGACCGCGGACGAAATTTGTTTTATTGGGTAAATCGTGTGCGTTGATCATTTTTTAGCTAGAACCAAGTGGGAGTTCTAAGAGCAGAGTCAGACTAGCCAAGTCATGCAGTGGAGAAGCCCAGAGGGCTTCAATTCAATATGACCCTCAGATCAAAAGTACTTTGAGTCTTAGGAATCATCATTATCAAAATAGTCATTATCTTTTCATTTATTGCAGTAATTTCTATTTCACAGGTAAATGGTGGTGGAGCATTGAGTCCAGCCATCTCCAGACATGGTGGTCAAGGATCTCCATCACGTTCAAAATTAGATTTGAAACTGAAAAGCGCTGTAGCAAGTGGCGCCCAAAATAAGCTGCAGTGCCCCATGTGCAATTATACCAGTTTGAGTCCTAGTCAACTTGAAGAGCATGTCAACAGGCAAGTAGTAAAGTTAGAACAGCTTAATCATAATACAATATTGGACCCAAAGCAGAATAGACAAGGATATGAAAAAAATTATCTAATTTAAAAAGCTTGCATTAAGTTATCGCATGTTTTTTCACTTGATTCCTATTATCTTGTAGGAGCCATTTTGACTTGACTTCTCCGTCATTGGGCGCAAATACGAACGAATCGTTTTCATGCCCGCTGTGTATAAAAAGCTTCAAGTCAGCCCCTGACTTGGAGCTACACGTTAACATCGAGCATCGAGACATCTTATCGCCCGCTAGTCCATCTACTCAGTCCTGCCCAATATGTGGAATCACTTTCGACAGTTCGTACAGCGTGAGTATTATCATTTCATAATGTAAAAGGTATATCAAAAGGTTTCCAGACTAGCTCTGTAACTTATTAACAGATGACACCTCGAGGTTGTGTCTGCTATATAAATCAACTGACCTTACAAAGTGGCGTGGGAAGTTTCCCTCGTCTTTTTGGTTTTACAAGAATTTTATGTACGTTTTTTGTGCTCGCTTGATTTCCTCTGTCGGCAATCTCGTCATGAACAAAAAGCTTCATGACCATAAACTTACTGTTTCTATAGGTGATTCTCCAAGTATCGCCGATAAAGGAAATTAAAAAGTATAGAACATTAAAATCCTTGCAAAACAAAAGCGATGGGGAAACTTCACACACTTCCTTGTGAGGTATCAGCTGATTAATATAGCAGGCATAGCTTCGAGATGTCATGTGTTGATAAGTTACAGAGCTAGTCTGGAAAGTTGTTCATACACCTAAAAAAAATTAAATTTGAAACCTTTAATACAAACTATTTTATTAGACAAAAATAAGGCGTTAAAGTAATAGTACCAAAATCATTAGTTGTGGGAGATTCTGTAATTTATAATAATCTGAAACTTCACATTTGCCTTCATACTTTCAAAAAATTAACAATTTTAAGATTTTCCGCCGTGAAACTTAATGATATTTTAGTAAATATACCAATGCAATAAAATATATATAATTTTGTTAAATTTTAGCTCTAAGATAGCTTTGTCAACAAGAAACATGTTATTCTTCAAACGTTAAGACATATATCTATATTTTTATCACTCCACTGTTTTTACAGAGGAACAGAATCTTCAAATGAAATAAACAAAGAAATTAAACTTCAGTGGCGTACAATCCATCACGACAATTTTTTAATGGATTCAATTTTCCAAGAATGATGTAGTTATCGTGGTTTTTTCGCCCATGCATTGGAAAAAGCGTAAAGAAAAATTTCGCCATTTATGCAATTTTATGAACCCGATTTGTGTCTCCCTACGGTGCGATTTGTATTGCGTGATAACGTCACTCAATGATGTTCAACAATGTCGAAAATTGTTGAGTTATGCGACACAAATCGCGTTGTCGATATCTCGAATATCTCTAAAAATACCCACACTTTTATCACGTAAGAATTGTGTCTCACACTTCAACTGTAACTGCAGCTATCAATTTAGAATGAGAACCCTGGGTTGCGTGGCATTACTGATTTTCTGAAAGACAAAACGTGGGGCATTGAATAGCATTTATATGTACTTTTAACGCCTGCCCCGCTGCTAATAAGTTGGGTAGAGGGCGGATTTATTGGTACCAGGTGAGAAAGTCTTAGTGAAAAAAATAACCTAAATACTTATCTTAAATCTTTATATATAATTTTTAAATCATTATTACGAAGTATAATTCTGCCAGGGGTACGGAACTTACCGGCTACCGACAACTGTCGGTAAGCGCAACCAAAGACCTCATGCCCTAGCCTAGATGCGATGAGTTCGCGGAAAGTACTGCAATATGTACTGATAGATTTAATTTGCCATATCGACAGCTTGGATGAATTGAACTAGCCTTGACTATCAATAGAGTTACTTCAGTTCATAATATTGTAGCAGATTCATGATGCTAGAAGTAAATATACGCTTGAAAATAGAGAACTATTGAGGTTGTGTGGTTTCAACTTGTGGTTTAATACGTGGGCCATAACAAAAAGATATCAAAACTGGGACATAACTTAATGGGGGCTAACAATACAATGTACTGAAATGGCAGACTTTGAGAACGAGTTTCTTATGTGCAGTCGTTTCAGTTCATTTTAGAGCAACGGTCGTTGCAGATTTTAGTCGCATAAACAATGAATATATAACATGTCGCATATATATGTGGCGCGTACTACTCACAAGATGATTTTATATTTCACAACAAGCGCTGGAAAGCTCAAGCCTTAATAGATACATACGCCTATTACATAATCAACATTGTACTTTGTGGATAGGCTTTTTAGGCGTTAAATCTCACTTTCTAACCCACGTACTCAACGGGCAGACATTGCTTCATATTCGTTGTTAGAGCGTACCGCAAGTTTCGCTGACACGACCTTTCAATTTTTCTTTTATTTCATAAAACACCACCATCACTTTTAGCTACGATAGCTTTTTGAGGTTATTTCAGGATGTGAAATGGAAGTCTTAATAATTACTTATTCAGTAACTTTTTTAAATCCGTTTGTAGTGCTTGGTAAAACATGGCAATGGACAATAATTTTTCAAAAAGAACCTCATAAATCCATTTTTTGATCGTCCTACTATGTGGTCTCATCCACATTTTCTGAGATCAAAATTGTAGCACCAATCTCGCCGACGCACTCATGATTATGACAGCATAGACTGTCGAAAGCTGGAGTTGTAAGTTAAAAGAGTACACTTTACATAAGTTTATTTCCCCAAAGACGAGTTGTTCCACTTTATATATATATATATATATATATATATATAACTTGAGACGTGGTCATTGTCGTCTAGACCAGTTAGGTGAAAAATTAAAGCTTCCGCCTTTTGTTGGGTACTTCGACAAAATTTAAGCAAAGAGGACTCTTTATACTTTTTTTAATTCTCTCTAACTTTCAATGGACTTTGCCATCATCATCAGGAGCTGCAATTACAATGATAACAGTAGCAACAAAAGTGTAAAATGAATTTAAATTGAATCAACTTACAGTAGTATGTGAGGATGTTGCTAATTGTTGTTTTCGTATAGGATGAGAGAAACGTTCAGTAACATGGTGAGAGCTGGATACATGGTACAATGGTTAAAATTATATAAAATATGACAAGACAAGTTAAAGACAGATTAAAAATTATTTAGAAAACATTAGAGCATTACGTCGTGAAGCCACTTGATGATTGCACAAAATGGTGGTCATGGAATAATGAGTGAGATGAACCTTTAACACAAGGCAGAAGGTTGTCAATGTCTGTGTTGAAAGATGGAACGAATTGTGGGCGTGTGCCAATACGTTGCCAAATCACTTCAGATGATGTGATTTTCAGAATGTTATATAAGAAATTGTTAAACCGACCAGCGGCAGTTGAATAAACTATATTTTAATTAATGGGAATTTTAAATTAACAATTATTAATAAATCGTGAGAAGAGAATTATTAGATTTTGAGTGGAATGAAATTTGTTGGTGGAATCCTCCAAAACACAGATTATATTTATGGTTGTGAAAAGTCTAAATTTGGGGAGATATGTAAGTTCTCCAATTTTTCGCAGTTTAGCAAATATGAGTAAATGACACTCAGTTGTTTAATATCTGTCTTTTTGTTGATACAGTTGTTATTCATGAAAATGTGGGACATTTCCAGGAATAAACGTTTGGAAAGGTGTTTTTCTTTATCAAGAACTTTGATACTTGTGTAATTCATAGAATGCCCTGTTGTGTTAACATGAGATGCTAGAGCGCATCTTTCAGGATGAAGCCTAGCATCACTTTTGTGTGATGTAATCCTTCCTTTAAGAGATCTGGAGGTCTGACCTATGTATATTTGGTTGCAGTTGTTGCAATTGATGGAGTAGACTGTGTTAGTTAAGCCAAGAAGCGGGACTTTGTCTTTCATTTTTGAAAAAATGCGGTTTATAGTGAGGACGGATTTGCAAGCAATTCGAAAGTTCAAAGGACTGCACAATCTGATCAGTTTAGGGGTCAGTTCCTTGATATAGGGCAGGACAGCAAAACCAGGTCTGGAGTCTGGGTTGGTGCTTGTACTGTTTGGATTGATGCTATTATTGGGAATATAATATAATATAACGGAACTGATGTAATTCCCAATAATAGCATCAATCCAAACAGTACAAGCACCAACCTAGACTCCAGACCTGGTTTTGCTGTCCTGCCCTATATCAAGGAACTGACCCCTAAACTGATCAGATTGTGCAGTCCTTTGAACTTTCGAATTGCTTGCAAATCCGTCCTCACTATAAACCGCATTTTTTCAAAAATGAAAGACAAAGTCCCGCTTCTTGGCTTAACTAACACAGTCTACTCCATCAATTGCAACAACTGCAACCAGATATACATAGGTCAGACCTCCAGATCTCTTAAAGGAAGGATTACATCACACAAAAGTGATGCTAGGCTTCATCCTGAAAGATGCAATCTAGCATCTCATGTTAACACAACAGGGCATTCTATGAATTACACAAGTATCAAAGTTCTTGATAAAGAAAAACACCTTTCCAAACGTTTATTCCTGGAAATGTCACACATTTTCATGAATAACAACTGTATCAACAAAAAGTACAGATATTAAACAACTGAGTGTCATTTACTCATATTTGCTAAACTGCGAAAAATTGGAGAACTTACATATCTCCCCAAATTTCGACTTTTCACAACCATAAATATAATCTGTGTTTTGGCCGATTCCACCAACAAATTTCATTCCACTCAAAATCTAATAATTCTCTTCTCACGATTTATTAATAATTGTTAATTTAAAATTCCCATTAATTAAAATATAGTTTCTTCAACTGCCTCTGGTCGGTTTAACAATTTCTTACATAACATTCTGAAAATCACATCATCTGAAGTGATTTGGCAACGTATTGGCACACGCCCACAATTCGTTCCATCTTTCAACACAGACATTGACAACCTTCGGCCTTCTGTCAAAGGTTCATCTCACTCATTATTCCATGACCACCATTTTGTGCAATCATCAAGTGGCTTCACGACGTAATGCTCTAATGTTTTCTAAATAATTTTTAATCTATCTTTAACTTGTTTTGTCATATTTTATATAATTTTAACCATTGTACCATGTATCCAGTTCTCACCATGTTACTGGACGTTTCCCTCATCCTATACGAAAACAACAATTAGCAACATCCTCACATACTACTGTAAGTTGATTCAATTTAAATTCATTTTACACTTTTGTTGCTACCGTTATCATTGTAATTGCAGCTCCTGATGATGATGCCAAAGTCCATTGAAAGCTAGAGAGAATTGAAAAAAAGTATAAAGAGTCCTCTTTGCTTAAATTTTGTCGAAGTACCCAACAAAAGGCGGAAGCTTTAATTTTTCACCTATATATATATATATATATAAATTTTGTCGAAGTACCCAACAAAAGGCGGAAGCTTTAATTTTTCACCTATATATATATAAATTTAAGCAAAGAGGACTCTTTATACTTTTTTTAATTCTCTCTAGCTTTCAATGGACTTTGCCATCATCATCAGGAGCTGCAATTACAATGATAACGGTAGCAACAAAAGTGTAAAATGAATTTAAATTGACTCAACTTACAGTAGTATGTGAGGATGTTGCTAATTGTTGTTTTCGTATAGGATGAGGGAAACGTCCAGTAACATGGTGAGAGCTGGATAGATTGTACAATGGTCAAAATTATATAAAATATGACAAGAACAAGTTAAAAACAGATTAAAAATTATTTAAAAAACAGAGCATTACATCGTGAAGCCACTTGATGATTGCACAAATTAGTGGTCATGGAATAATGAGTGAGATGAAACCCTTTGACAGAAGGCCGAAGGATGTCAATGTCTGTGTTGAAAGATGGAACGAATTGTGGGGGTGTGCCAAACGTTGCCAAATCACTTCAGATGATGTGATTTTCAGAATTTTATGTAAGAATTTGTTAAACCGACCAGAGGCAGTTGAATAAACTATATTTTAATTAATGGGAATTTAAATTAACAATTATTAATAAATCGTGAGAAAAGAATTATTATATTTTGAGTGGAATGAAATTTACTGGTGGAATCGGCCAAAACACAGATTCTAATTATGGTTGTGAAGAGTCGAAATTTGGGGAGATATGTAAGTTCTCCAATTTTTCGCAGTTTAGCAAATATGAGTAAATGACACTCAGTTGTTTAACATCTGTCTTTTTGTTGATACAGTTGTTATTCATGAAGATGTGGGACATTTCCAGGAATAAACGTTTGGAAAGGTGTTTTTCTTTATCAAGAACTTTGATACGTGTAATTCATAGAATGCCCTGTTGTGTTAACATGAGATGCTAGAGCGCATCTTTCAGGATGAAGCCTAGCATCACTTTTGTGTGATGTAATCCTTCCTTTAAGAGATCTGGAGATCTTTCAACACAGACATTGACATCCTTCGGCCTTCTGTCAAAGGGTTTCATCTCACTCATTATTCCATGACCACTAATTTGTGCAATCATCAAGTGGCTTCACGATGTAATGCTCTAATGTTTTTTAAATAATTTTTAATCTGTTTTTAACTTGTTCTTGTCATATTTTATATAATTTTGACCATTGTACAATCTATCCAGCTCTCACCATGTTACTGGACGTTTCCCTCATCCTATACGTAAACAACAATTAGCAACATCCTCACATACTACTGTAAGTTGAGTCAATTTAAATTCATTTTACACTTTTGTTGCTACCGTTATCATTGTAATTGCAGCTCCTGATGATGATGGCAAAGTCCATTGAAAGCTAGAGAGAATTAAAAAAAGTATAAAGAGTCCTCTTTGCTTAAATTTTGTCGAAGTACCCAACAAAAGGCGGAAGCTTTAATTTTTCACCTAACTGGTCTAGACGACAATGACCACGTCTCAAGTTATATATATATATATACAGGGTGACTTCGAAGTTGAGTCATTTATTTTAACAGTGAGTAGATCTGATCAAAAGAAATGTTTTTTTCCTTTACCATTTTTCTGGTAAAATTAAAGTAACAAAGTTATAGCCCTTTGGAAGTTTGAGTACCGCCCTGTCTCAATGTGCTCGTGTTTGGCGACAACGGATATAATCCGTCGTATCGGTTCATCGCATCGGAAACAAAAAAGCGAAAGAATTTGGAACGAATTATTTCATTCATTTGTATACAGTCAGTGTCAGTGAATAGTTGTATCTGTTGCGTGGCTCAAACGAAATAAAAAATGGCACATGTTTATGCGGATCGGTTTCCCAATCGAGTGCAACCAACCCCTCGTGCCTTTGTTAATGTAGTACTACGGGCTCGTGAATCAGGTGACTTAAGACCTCACAGGGGACCTCACGATCAAATACAGGTCCGCACTGAAATACTTGTCGGGAGGATACTTTATAAAACAAGGTAAACATTTTTTTTTAATGTTTTTTTCATTTTTACACACATATTTTGGTTTATATTCCTTCTACAATCATTATCTGAAAATTAATGACTCAACTTCAAAGTCACCCTGTATATATATATATATATATATATATATATATATATATATATATATATATATATATATTGGTTATTTTGCCTCTGAAATTTGCAATGGCCATTATTCTAAAATGAACTGAAACCTCTTGGACATACGAAACTAGTTCTCAAATTCTGCTGTCAGTGCATTATATTGTTAGCCCATTAATCTCTGTTTCAGTTTTAATATCTTGTTGTTATGCCCCGCGTTTTAAATCACACAACCTTAATAGTGTGTATATTTTCAAGTGTATTTTGACTTATAGCATAATAAATATGGTACAATATTATGTACCGAAGTAACGCTATTGTTGGTCCATGCTAGTTCAATTGTAGTCCGAGCTGTCAATATGGCGAATATAATGTATCAGTACACATTGCAGTACTTTCAGCGAGCTTATCGTATCTAGGCTGGGGCATGAAGTTTTTGGTTCTACCAACATTCCCCGTACAAATGTTTCTGCAGGTTATGCATGTCATCATGCTTCGTCGTATTTGATCAATTTTTGTTTAAATGCCATTTCAATACTATACGATTTGATACATCACGTTACTTTTAGGATCATTCATAATTTGAGACCACCCGTTTCATCAACTGATTCATCTAGTATTAAATAGCAGATATGTCCCTCTGTTATCTGAGAAGACAATTCACGAACCTACATAGAAAAGAAGTACGGCAACTTTTAACATGATAAAGTAAACGAAAACAAATGGACCAACGATCTAGAAATATAACTGTTGTCCTATGTTAATTATCAGATTTTTAACATGTGACATTTATTTAGTGCCATTCGACATGTGTTGGCCTTGTCTGTTTGTTTATTATTGTTATTAAAGCTGCTACATTGATAAATGTGTATATTTATAGATTTGCAAATTCTGGTAAGACGATTTCCAGTTCGCAGCTAACAGATGGGTTTGGTTTAGTATTTTCCAGTACCTGTCGTCGGCAGTATTAATACCTATTGAGGCGTTAATGGGCTAATTGCTCTGTTTTTATGAAAATAAAAAGATACCTTTTCACGCAAGATTTGAAAATTAAAAATATGAAGAAAAATTGAACGATCGTGTCAGCGGAACTTGCGGCACGCCCTAACAACGAATATGATGCAATGTCTGCTCCTGGAATCCGTGAGTTGAAAACTGAGATTTAACGTCAAAAAAGCCAAACCACAAAGTACAATTTACGGCCCGTTCGTAGATAATTGATATTGATTGTGTACGAGACGTATGTATCTATTAGGGCTTGAACTTCCCACCGTTTGTTGTGAAATATAACCTTATCTTTTGAATAGTACACGCTACGTATATATACGATATGTTAAATATCCGTTATTCATTCCACTGAAATCTCCAACGACTGTTGCTCTAAAATGAACTCGAATGACTGCAAAATACGAAACTAGCTCCCGAATTCTGCCATTTCAATACATTCTGTTTTTAGTTTAAGTTATGTTCCAGTTTTGGTACCTTGTTGTTATGCCCTGCGTTTTAAACGTCAAGTTGAAACCACACAACCATAATAGTTTGTCTATTTTCAGGCATGTATTTATATAGCATAATAAATCTACTACAATATTATGTGTAGTAACTGAAGTAACTCTATTGATCGTCCAGGCTAGTTCAATTATAATCCAAGCTGTTGATATTCCAAATTACTTTCCGCTAGCTCATCGCATCTAGGCTAGGGCATGAGGTCTTTGGTTGCCCTTACCGACAGTTGTCGGTAATCGGCAAGTTCCGATGAGAACAAGAATACCGATCCAGACGCTTCAAACTGGGTGTACCGCGATAGATTGTTTTTGTATGACTGTATAAAAAAGTGTCATGTAAAAAATTATAGTCTAATATAAAGGTTTTCATGCTAGTTTTTTTTTGTATACGAATTTGAGGCTAAATTTATGGACGTGCTGCTACTTTAGTTGGTGATGTAGTAGTAGTAATAATAATATTTATGCACATCAATTATAAATTGTGAATAAAATTAATATGCCACAAAAGGAAAATATCCTTGTCCGTAGATATCAACATATTTAACATAAATATAACACAGTAGTTACAATAAGGACTAGAAAAATCTATATAATATAAATGTAATACATTAATTCGGTATCGCCCATGAGTCAAGATATGTATTTATATGTTTTTGTAAATTGCATCACTATACAATAGCCACTCATATAGATCTATTTTCAATATGATATTTTCGTTTTTTTCTTCTAATATATCATGTTACACTGTAATTTTGGACCTAAGTATGTATATCAAAGATTTCAACATTATTTCCTTTTTTGGTGTGGCAATAATTGTTTGTTTGTTTTTATTTTAGTATCATATTCATTATTTTTATAAATGGTCGAATGTTTGTTTTTATGGAATTCTAATATAACATACCAAAATATTTTAACGTAACAAGGGTGCCTATATATGTCTGAATCTGATTTTTTCCAAATGCCTATATTATTTTCAAATTTTAGAGCGAGTCCGCAGCCCGTCATGTAGACTCCCACTTCCCTGGCGCTTTGGGAGCTGAAGCAGGAGGTCCCTCCGACGACCGAGCCACGTTAAGGGAGCGCGAGAGGCGGGAGTTTGAGCAACTCCGCGCGCAATACGGCTTGGACGACCAGGGGAATTTCCGGGAACAGTTTGTGCACAATATGCAGCGTGCCGTTTACTTGGGAGAGATGAGTGTGGCGGACTATTATGAAAGGACAATTGACCTGAAGGTGGCCGAGAGTTGCGGAGTTGATGATGGGAGTTCTGTTACTAGGAGCATTGTAAGTATATATGGTGGTGGAGCAACAGGGTTGAAAAAAAACATTTGTTTGTTTTAGATTCATTTAGCATTAATGCTACAATGTCCACAATATCCATATTACACAGTATATCACAAAATATATTATGTCTTCAATACTACATATTTTTATACAAAATTTCACTACTATGAATTCTGGTTTTCCATGAGATATTTTTTCAATTTCCCTTTGAACATTTTCAAACTGAAACACATATTGATATCATTACTTAATTTATTAAATTCGTACAATCCCTTTTGAAATACTGACTTGCTCGTTATATTGCTACTGCAGTTTTGTAAATGAAAGTCTATACTTCCTCTAGTAGAATAATTGTGGCACTCATTGTTCAATACAATAAAATTTTCTAAGTGATTTGGTAGAAGATTATTTTTTAACTTGAATATGAAAATGAAAACTAAGTAGGCTATGAAATTTTTGATATTTAACCATTGTAGTTCTTTCAGCATAAAATTTATTCTAGTATATTTATTTTTATTTAAGATGATTCTTATAGCTTTATTTTGTAATATTTATAACTTTGAAAATACAGTTTCGTTTGCAGTGAACACAATAGTCGAACAATATAACAAATGAGGAAGAATGATAGTGTTGTACACAATTTTTTTAAAATGATCACTTAGGCTATGCGAAATTCTATAAAAGTAATTTATTTTCTTCTATATTTTTGAAATAATTCATAGTGCCCTTCAATTTTAATTTACTGTCTACGTATATGCCCCAATATTTAAATGATTCGATTGACACAATTTTTTCATGACTAATTGTAAGATTTATCGTATTTTGATCTAAAGATTTTCCTATTAGTATTTTGTTTTATTTGTGTTTAGTTTATTTACATTTAACCAATTTATTACATTTTTCATATCATTATTTAACAGCTCTATTGCAGTTTCAATGTCTTTATTTGATATATGCGAAGTTTGTGTTGGTGATAGTTGCAGTAGAGTTATTTGCAAAAAAATGAAGCATTCCATGTTGACTGTCTGAAGAGAAAAGTGAAATTTCCAGCATCCATTTTAGTCTGGGGCAGTATGTCATCAAAAGGAGTAGGAAAACTTCATTTTATTGATGGAAATGTGGATACAAACAAATATTTGACAATTTTAGAAGAATCGCTTTTACCAGTGATGGATACCTCAAAAAAGGCTATAAAATGGATGGAAGAAAATAATGTACCACTTTTGAAATGGGTTTCTAGCAGTCCAGATCTGTCACGGTTTGAAACTTTCTGGCGCGAGATGAAAAAGGTTCTACGACAACATCCTGCTCGTACAATCACCGAACTGAGGCAAAAGCTTCAAGAAATATGGGATTGTTTTACACCAAATTTTTGCCAAAACTTGGTTAACACTATGCCCCAAAGAATTTCAGCCGTAATAAAAAATAAAGGTGATGTTACCCAATCGTAATCTTTCAATTGTTGCTTTCTTAACTTCGCGCATTTATTCGCACATTGTTTATTTGTTCAGATGTTCTATTAGTTATAGGTCTAAGTGATTTCAAATATCTATTTTTTACGACTAGAGTGTATCTAAAATGTTTTTGAGAAAATAAATTGTTTTAGAAGTAAATAGTTTCGACATGTTTAGTTTATAAAGGCATATTTTGGTACAAATCTTGAAGTGGGCCAACTGAAGTGGGAAGGGGCTCGTAGATTTGGATCCCCATCTTCGACTGATTCTACTATCTCATTTATACTTTCTAAAAAAAAGCGTTCATTCGTTCTGCAATCAATATTTTTTGTGTTACTATACCATCTTCGAAGCACATTCTTGATAATTAATTCTTCCTACTATACTGGGAGATACTATATTTTTCAGTGTCTTCCACATCATTTTACTGTTATTGTTATTGATGTCTATTTTGTTTTCATAATATTTTTTCTTTTCGTTCCTAAGATTTGTTAAACACTTGTTTCTTGATTTCTTATATGGTATCCAATCTTCCTCAGTTTGAGTGATCATAAACTTTTTATAGTCATTATCACGCGTCGATTTAGAGTCTAGAAATATTTGTGAAAACCGCTTGGAGATCTGTAGTAAACGTGTACATTGTAATTTTGTTTCATCTTGATTTCAAAATTAATATACCACCATTGATAATCAACAACTACAGTATTAATTACATTTATTATTATTATTATGTGTTTTACTTCAATCATACTGAGTTTGTATATTAGTATGCCACCTGTATGTTTCGAAACTGTGTTTACTCTTACAACATCATATTGATGAATATCAATCTCCATATCTTCAATATCTACTGTAATATGGGTTTTGGTCAAGCAAAGAACTAATGGTTTCACTAATATTAAAAAATTTATAACTTCATCCCTGTGTGATAAAAATCCTTTAATATTTATATGGTATACATTGTTAGAATTTTCTTTGGCCTGTAATTGCTATTTGTCACCATAAGAAACTTTATTGTTTGATTTTTCATATTTGATTTGGACCATAGTTAGTAGAAGGATGAGTGATTTATATCGAAATTTATGTTGTACTTCAAATTTGATTCTCTGCAATTTGGACATGTTATTTCGTCTTTTGATATCGTAGAGTTCTGGGCCTGATGATCACTATTACCACATTTTAAACAAATACAGGTCTTGGTGCAACTCTTCGCTGTGTGGTGAAATCCGCCACACTTAAAAAACCTCAGAAGATCATAATGCTCAAAAATTGTACAAATATCCATGGATACAAACAAAACTCCTGCTTTCATTACTGCTTCAAATGTTGATCTATCCAATTCCAAAATTGCCATATACTCAAATTTCATTTTTTTTATTGCCACTATTTTAATCAAAGCAGCACTATTTATAACGTTGTTTTTCAGTTTTAAGTCTCTAACCAATTCTTCATTATTTAAGTCTTCACTGAAACCCACGTCTTAATCATTGGTAATTTTTTGTCGCCTACATTTACTTTATAATTCTGTCCAACACTTTTTTCTATTTCCAATTTTAACTTTTTTATATCATCGATATCCTTGCATTCAATTTTCTTTGCTCAATCTTTCAGATCATTTACTTTTTTAATAGACAAATTCAGTTTTGCTGGATTTATATACTTGCTCAATTCCTTGTTTGCGTACAACTTTGATTTGTATTATTAGATTTAATAACAATTGTATTTTCTCGTTGTGTTGTTGTGTTTATATTTTTAGTATATTTTACCGTTTTTTTTTTAAGATGGCGAAGTAATGTTGGCGTTTTCATGTGTAGAACTTTTGACCATGTCTGCATATGATTTACTGTTATTTGCAGATGTATCTTGTAAATTCTCAATTTGTTTATTTAGTTTATCAATTTTTTCATATAGTTTTTTTATCAGTTTTTCTTGTATCGAAATAGTATAATCTTTTATCTTTAAAATGTCTGGTACACAAAATCCTTTTTCTTCATGTGATACATTCACGTCATTTGCTTTTCCACTAGCTTCAGTCCCATCTTCATCAGTCTCCATATGGATATTTTTTCAAGAAAGAACTTGACCCAGAAAAAGTCACTAATATGTTTCAAAATTAAATATCCGTAAAACTTCCAAAAGTTCAAATGTTTCCAATTTACCACTGCTCACTAGTAGCCTCCATTACTCTATATATTATCACCAGCAGTTAAAAATCTTCTGTGGAATAAGCAAATTGCTATCTTTTTAGAACTGCCTAACGTCCTGTTAGTAGACAAGTTAGTGGCATTAAACAAATTTAGATGAAAAAAAAAAACATGTTCAAAACAGTGTTAACACATGTTCAAAACAGTAACAAAAAATTAAAAAAACTATAGCCTACATAATCTAGCAACGTTAATGAAGTTCCTTGGAAGTGTTATTACTATTTTTGATCCAGCTCTATCCGAGGACATCTCTAATTTAAAAGCGGACATCGAGAAACTACCTTGCGGACGTCGGCGAAGTACCGTTTGCCTTTGGGTAATTTTTCGCGTTTAGAACTCCAGCAGTCAAATGTGCGAAGTCGTAGCGTGGTGATGTGTTTTGTTTTTTTTTGCATTAAAGATCGGCAAAAAAAGAAAGGCAATAACAGGGAGGAGAAAGGATCCCGTGTGGAAATATTTCAAGGAGACTGATGCCGACCGAAAATAAATAAAAGAGCAAAATGTTTAACCTGCAATATGGATATAGTGCCTCTGGTGTCAGGCATATTAAAAATTAAAAATTTTAAACAAGGAAGTTTGTTAGAAAAACAATATATTCATATATCAGGTAATTCTGATACGGACAATGATGATGTTTCTACCGAACCTATTTCCCCACTCATTCGTTGAGAAACATATTTTTTCCACTAGTATTAGTTCCCTAGTTTCATGTTTGATTAATTAATAAAAAATGAAGTATATTTTATAGTATAGTACCTATTTGTTTTAACCTATGGCCCTCTTAGTTTCGTTGAATATTAAAAAGCTCGAATAATTCAAAAACGACAAAAAAACTGTGTTTAAAACATGTTCTAAACAGTTTAAAACAAATTGGTTTAAAACACACAATTAGAAATTTCTGATAATTTATGTGTGACCTTACTGTTAAATTGTATAATATATCACCCCAACTACCTCTTTTATACATAGTCCATGAGACTAAAACTTCGTCGGTGTTTTTGCACAGTTGCGTGATCCTAATATTCGTAGAATCATCGGAAGAGAGGAAATAAAGTTCACGATCGGTCACGCTCGGTATCAAACACGTTTGAATTTTAATCGTTGACATGCTAGTCGAGAGCGAGGTAGATCCTAATGTTGGTATCTGACTTTGAAGTGTATGGTGGAACCATTCAAGTAGGAAATAAGACTAACCTCCAGACATTCGTAGCCTATTTTCAAAATATTCATAGTACTAATTGCTTAGTTCAGCGCCGACCCAATTGTGTTGCAAGTACCCACTTCATGACCAACAAATCATATTCTTATATTTTTTATCTGTATGGTACGCGTGACTTTATAAACCTGTTCTCTAACATACTTCTAGAATCTAAACTCAAAACTTTCAACCAAGAGCTTCTCCATGGTCGACACCAGCAAATAAACTGAATCATGATCGGGTGAACCACCCACGACCTTCGACTGGTACACTTTCCACCTTATACTCATGACGAGAGTCACGTCAAAAATCGAAATTGTATTACGCTAGCTTCTTTTGTTCCGTAATAATGCAGCTTAGGGAATTCTACATAGAAATTACGAATATTAGGTTAATACCAAAAACTTTAGTTTTATGTTTTTGTAACAGTGAATTCATATCAGTTTTACGTTATTCCTAGTCCTCCATTCAGATAAAAACTATTTCCTTATGTAACAAAAAAAAAACGGTACCGAGATACAATCCGCTTTTTTAAATAACCTCTGAACGATACTCCATACTTCAACGAATTTTGGTAGAATTAGATCTAGCGAAACATAGCTGACGTTTTATACATACATCCTTTGTGATAATGGCTCAATAATAATATTCTTTCTTGTAAAGATGTTTTAGCTGAAAACATGTACCTGTGTTTGATTTTGATAAAATGAGCTATTTTTGTGTAAAACAGTCTTGTGTCATTAAGGAAAATTGCAAATTATAGATCAAACATGCAGAAGTTGTTTCAAGGACTTACAAATTTTACCATTTCCATCAATTTATATTTTAGCTACTTTATGTGCACAGGATTCTAGATGTACATATATGTAACTTATGGAGTAACGTTATACTTGGCACTACATAATGTTAGTGACTATTAGACGTAACTTTAATTTGTATAATTTATTAGTCAATGCAAGATAATTTTGACACTATGTCCATTCTGTGCTTTTCTAAGTTTGCTAAGAAAACCTTGCTTAACCACTCTTGTTATTGACTTTTACGACCACGTTGATCCTTATACGTTACTCTGATAGCTTATGAACGGTTGCAGTATAGCTTGTAGATCCTTACATGTACGCTATTGTACATGATGTTGTCAATAAATCGCACGGTATAAAAATGCGCCCTTATACACGGTGGCCAATATATAACTAATTTAAATTGCGCGCCATTTTTGAAACACGCATTTCAGTAGCTGGCGCCGTAGTAGTTGTTTAAAGGACATGTGTCCAGTTCATCATGGAGCGCTACACGATCCCACAACGCGTCCATATTGTTAAAACGTTTTACTTAAATAATGAGTCGATTGTTGGAACGATTCGGAAGCTACGACAAGATTTCGGTTGAAATAATGTAGCGCGAGTCCACACCATTCGTCAGTTGGTGCGGAAATGTGAACAAACAGGTGAAGTTAATGACTTGTCAAGGTCGGGCCGTGTTCGGACTGTTCGTACTTCGGAAAATAGAGTTTGTGAAAGTGTAGTGGAGCGCTCTGAGACGTCTACCAGACATCGTTCTCAAGAACTGGGTATTCGTCACACGTCATTATGCTCTATTTTAAAAAAAGACTTGCATGTTCGGTCATACAAAATTCAGTTAAGCCAAGAACTACATCCTAGTGACCATGAAAGTCGCCGATGAGCGATGAATCCCACTTCGATATCAACGGATTTGTTAATAAGCAGAATCGTATATGGGCACTAGAGAACCCTCGTGCTATCCATCAACAACCACTATATCCTCGTCAAGTCACAGTTTGGTGCGGTGTTTGGTGTGGAGGCGTCATTGGACCTTAGTTTTTTGAAGACGCTGGCGAGCGCTACCGCGATATGGTGCAAAACTTTCTGGCTCCTCAAATCCAACAATTTAACCTGCAAAACATGTAGTTCCAGCAGGACGGAGCAACTTGTAACACAGCTAGGGAAACAATGAATCTTGATTCATTTCTCGATTTGGTGGTGTCAACTGGCCACCAAGGTCGCCGGATGTAACGGCTCCTGTCTTTTTTTATGGGGATTTTTTAAAAATAGGGTTTATGTCAAAAAACCAAATACTGTAGAGCAGCTGAAGAACAATTTTACGGAAGCGATTGAAAATATTCCTCCCGAAACCTACCAAAAAGTGATGGAAAATGTTGTCAAGAGGGCTCAGGTTTGTGCGGCTTCTAGAGGTGGACATTCATCTGATATCATTTTTCATACATAATTTCTAAGTTTCAATAAAAGACTAAGATGAAAAAAATGGACGTATTATATTTCATTCCACAAATATTCAAGATACAAACCAGTCAGTTACATTTCGGCCACCCGTTATAACCCTGCGAAGCCTAAACTACTGTTACCTTAGGTGCCACGCGTTCGCGCTATGACAGCCTCTCTACCCTTCGTATCCTGCTGCTACATGTGTACCTGCGTGGACCACTACGCCTCCTCATATGGCGATCGAGGCTGGGGATGCGGCTACCGCAACTCGCAGATGCTTATCGGCAGTCTGCTTACTCACACGGGGTACAACGAACGGCTGTACCGGTTGTGGCAGGGACAGAAACCGCCGAGAAGTGCAGTACCGAGCATCTCCAGAATACAGTGTCTTATAGAGCAGGCGTGGGAACAGGGATTTGATATACAGGTGAGAAGTGGAAACACACCCCAGGGGGCAAAGCGATGGATGACATATTAGTGTCATGTGATACAGGCCTGGCCTAAATTTCTCACTTTGTATGCATCAGTGGTCACTTAGAAATTAAAAAGCCTTAGTTCGTCCCTGCATTTTGTGTTTACAATAACCTGCAAACTGTTATGTTTCACGATTTATCGATACACACAGTGGGTCAGCACATCATGAGATCAAAAGATATAATGTTTGTTTATTTGCAATAGCACACGAAAACGAAATCTTTTCCGGATGAATTGTGCGAAATATAAACACACGTCAATTTGACATATTTGCATGACAAAAATATCAACGTGACCCCATGGCCAAAGACGTTACGCTAAATCCCCTAAAGATTACCAATGATCTTTATCTATTCATTCATATTACCAGCTTCACTCGGAAACAAAATAAAAACAAGTAGTGAGAATATATTAAAGCTGGAGTAGTTACCGATTCTTGAGAATATTGAACTTTTTACAACTTATGCATTAGCAAATGCTTCAATATTTTCGTTCTAACTCAGCAGCCGCAGCATTACAGTAGAGTAACAGCTGATTATCTAGTAATATTTCAAAATTCCCCATATCGACAAATGACACATAATTTTGACGGATCCGTGAACACGCAGGCAGAACCGTCCTTTGTCTTGTTTTTTTTTTGTACGCTACAGATTCACTTTGTACTTGCTGGCAACTCTTCAATTTATAAAAGTTCGTTTTAATACAAAAAATTGCTACAAGCAAGTTTTACTAGATTTACACCAGATTCATTATTGCCAACATTACAGACTAGTACTCACTTGGTGATCAGCTGTTCACCTCAGTAGTCATCCGAACGTGATGGATACTGGTTAAATATGGTTTAAATTCCGAACAAATTATTGTCAAACGGATACTATATACGAAAGATAATATACAGGATGTTACATAATAAATGGGTTTTTGTACCTAAGTCCAAACTTTGATGCTTACCATTATATCATATGATTGTCCTCTTTGGCAGGCGTTTCATGAACTATTCTGTTCTAGTAATTACCGATCTTCCTTGCCAGGGAATTATCGAAAGACTTGTTAGTTTTTATGCGTTTGAATGATAATGGAAAATGCCGAGAATATTAGTGTTGCTGCTGTGAAGATTCTTGACGAATTATGCATAGACTGGTCTTTTTCCCCTACGAAATTAAATTCGCGTACGGACTGATAGATCATAGAAGCTATCGAATATTTGTACTTTTCCTCTTTTGTTTCCTTTTACTCTTTCGACTTTGGCCAACATATGGTTTAAATTTTAGGGTTCTGAGCAGTTAGAATGTAAGCTGGTTAACACACGGAAATGGATAGGTGCTACGGAAGTTGTGACGTTATTGTCATATCTACGTATTAAATGTCGACTAGTCGATTTTCACCGTCCAACTGGCCCCGGAGGCACTCATCCGGAGCTTTTCAAGTGGGTGCTACAGTATTTCGAAAATTCAGTAGGTGGAGAGTTCACGCCTCCCTTGTATCTGCAACATCAAGGTAGGCACTGAGGTTTGTTCTATGTCCAATCACCAAAACCCCATTAAGTGATAAATGTATTTTTATTCTGAATGATTATTGTTTGTACTAAAAATCGATTTTGCGTCCTTAGACCCTTATAAAAGAAGTTTGGCATAACAGTATGACGTTTTGATGATTGGTTATTGAGTTATTTATATAGTAATCCACGGAAACGCTAAAATCTGATATCCCGCCATTTAGAAAGCTAGTAAATGTATACTGTGTGGTAATAAATTTCTTATCAGGGGTTTCAATTTGTGGTATCACATCACCCCTCATTCTAATTAAAAAAGTGTTTCAAGATGGCGCCCAGTTGCTTTATTGAAATTTTCAAGCTACACTCGGACAGTAAAATATAATAATAGATTTCGTGACTTTGAATTTCAGCTTGCTAATTAAACCTGTTCAAAAAAAGTAGGGGTCTTTTTGAATAACACTGTATGAAGCGTTCTTGAATCAAAGAGCCTATTATTGTATTATGTTTTCTTTGGCACTTGGAAAAATCAAATTATTGTTTAATCAATTTTAGGCCATAGTCGAACCATCATGGGGATTGAAGTCCACCGAGACGGTAGTTTAATCCTACTAGTCCTCGATCCTAGTCACTCTCCTCAAGAGATGGCGCAAATGGGAGTTACGAACAATGCTGCCACTGCAAACTCACTCAGGTTATTGAGGAAGAGCGAATCTGCGATGAAGGCGCGTCAATACCAAATTGTTGCAGTTGTCGGGACGATTGACAGTGAACAGCTCTATCAGGTACACTACAGTCACTTGAATAAGTAACACAGTGGAGAAAAAAACATTATTTTGTTTCATGGTACACATTTTTTTTTTGAATGAGTCGTTGTAATGGTAGACAAGTCCAGTTTTCAATTACCATTAGATAGATCCACCTGATTTTGAGTAATGGCAAGCGCTGCCTTGACCTATGTGTATTTCAGGAAATGATCCAAGAAAGGTATAATGGATCCTGAATGCACGATTGTAAGATGTACAGAAAAACTCGGATTACACCCCCCGATTCTAAAGCACAATGTTAAAATAATTCATTTTTCGAGCCAGTACTGCTCGGCCTTATATTTTTGGTTTAATAAAATTTGAGACATGATTATCTATACTAATATAATTTTACTTCTGCAGCACTGTAAAGTTCTACGTGGTTTCCGAATACCGCTGGAACGGTGAGAATTACTCTGCAAGAAAGCGAAAATGGATTTGAGTGAACTGAAGCAATTAAATGATATTTCTACATATTTCACCACCTTTGCTGTTCATAATTCTTCAAAGATGTTTACAAAGTTCAAATCCTAAGGTTAATTATATCATCATTTTATAGATTTAAGATAGCAATTGCGTTAGTTTTAAATCACTATTCATCTTGTTTCTCTGGTCGGTTGATAAGACCTCATAATTCACCTTGAACAAAATGCTAGCTTTATAGCTTCTGATCTGATCTCAATTGTTTTCAGAGTATCTAATATTAACCGGAAAAAATATTTCAAATTTTCCGCTGAATTGCTATTATAGGATAAATGAACTGCTGATTTTTTTTTTTGTAGTAATATAGAATATGCATACAGGGAAAACAAACTAGAGTAAACATAAAAATGATCAAGATTTAATTCCATATTGCCCAGCATGGATTTTTACAACCAATATCCATATTTGTTATAGAAGCCACACCAATTTCAAAATCAATCACTCAGCGCATAGGTAAGTCGCCAAATCTTCAGTAAAGTACGGGGCACAAAACATATGATTTTAAAGAAAATTCATATAGTGATAGTTCCTGATGTGCTGAGCAAATGTTCCCATTGGACGCAAGATTTCTATTGGAGGTACAAGTTATTAAGGTTTGGTGCCTGGGCCCCATGTGGATAAGAGTTTCTGCACCAAAAACTAACTTGTCTTTAATTCATTCAAGGAACTTGACGAAATGATAAAAACCCGATGAACGCACAATATTTACAGGGTGTGCCAACGAAAATGGAAAGTTGTTTAACAGAACACCTATATATTCGAAAATGGTTTGCAACAAGGTTGACATCTTATTGGTGTGTCTATCTAAATTATTTGGAAATTTGCACATTTCGAACAACAAACATGTTTTTTTATGTTATATTAGATATTTGGAAAGACTTTTCGAAAGCAAGAAGATTGATATAATATACTGTAGAATTTTGATCGTCATGTGTTTGGTTATTTTATAAAAAAATGTCTGTCCTTGAAGGCTTTGCCTTCTGCCATTTTGCGTAGTTTTTCACTTAATTTTGGAACGAGGATTAAAAAGTACGCCAACTTTGTCAGGGTATCGCAGAACTTTTTTCTTAAAAATTTTAAATAGAACATCCCATGTTCATATTTTCACACCATCAGATTCGCGTTTTTATAAGTTTACCACACATCAGTTTTGATACTGCTTTATTAGAATGGCTGTCTGATTATACATAATAAAATATAACGCGATTCATAAAAAAAAATTAGAAATACACATACAGGGTGACTTTGAAGTTGAGTCATTAATTTTCAGATAATGATTGTAGAAGGAAGATAAACCAAAATATGTGTGTAAAAATAAAAAAAAATTAAAAAAAAAAATGTTACCTTGTTTTATAAAGTATCCTCCCGACAAGTATTTCAGTGCGGACCTGTGCGCCCAAAAGCATGTCACAAAAACTGTTCGAAATGATTTCCGTTTTGCTCGACGCACAGCTGGGCGCGTCTTAGCCATGTCTCTTTACAAGCACGCAATAAAATCACTGGTTGATTTCTGATCACTGTACTCATTTCCTCAATTCGAGCACGTAATTCTTCGGGTGTATTAACCGGTGTTTTATACACTAGAGTTTTTAGCCAACCCCACAAACAAAAGTCTAAAGGATTTAAGTCCGGAGACCTTGGCGGCCAAGGTACAAAACCGCCACGGCCGATCCAACGATTATTAAATTGTCTATTTAAAAATTCACGCACATTTCTTGCATAATGGGGTGGTGCCCCATCTTGTAAAAACCACATGTTTTGTCTAATATTTAAAGGCACATCTTCCAGTAAACCAGGCAAATTGTGTTGCAAGAAATCAAAATAATTTTCACCAGTTAAGCGATTTGGTAATTCAAAAGGCCCCACTAAAATTCCATTAACAATTCCCGCCCACAGGTTGATTGGTTCAAATCGCTGTTGAAAATTGGTTTCCCTTATTTCATGGGGATTTTCAATAGCCCAAACGTGAGAATTACGTGAATTAATAATTCCGTTTCTAGTAAAGAGGGCTTCATCACTCACTAAAATTTGATTTAAAAAATTGTCATCATTTTGATGTTTATTTAAAAGCCAATTGCAAAAGTCAACCCTTTGTTCATGATCTTCCGGTTGTAAGGCCTGCACTTTTTGTATGTGAAACGGATAGAACTGATTTTCACGTAGAGTTTTCCAAGTTTTATACTGACTAATCGCCAATTGAGTTGAAATTTGTCGGGTGCTTACTGTTGGATCATCACTTACTAATTCTAAAATTTGTTCTTCTAGTTCTATTTGATCGTGTGGTCTTGGAGCACCGGCATGATCTCCTCTGTGAGGTCTTAAGTCACCTGATTCACGAGCTCTTTGCACTACATTAACAAAGGCACGAGGGGTTGGTTGCACTCGATTGGGAAACCGATCCGCATAGATCCGTGATGCCGCGGCAGCATTTTGTAAAGACTCCCCGTAAATAAGAACCATGTCCACAAGTTCAGCATTTTCGTAAATATGTGCCATTTTTGATTTGAGCCTCGCAACAGACACGATTATTCACTTACGCGTTACCGACTACCGACTGATACTGACTGTATACAACTGAAGAAAATAATTGTAAAAAGATCGTTCCAAATTCTTTCGCTTTTTTGTTTCCGATGCGATGAACGGATAAGGCGGATTATATCTGTTGTTGCCAAACACGAGAACATAATATCATTATTGAGACAGGGCGGTACTCAAACTTCCAAAGGGCTATAACTTTGTTACTTTAATTTTACCAGAAAAATGGTAAAGGAAAAAAACATTTCTTTTGATCAGATCTACTCACTGTTAAAATAAATGACTCAACTTCGAAGTCACCCTGTATAATATCTTGCTGCTCAACTACTTTCCACTTTTGTTGGAACACCCTGAATATGAGTCTACAAGAAAGGCGAGTTAGTTTTCGTAAAATGAAGCGGGCAGGCTTACTCACGCTGGCTAAGGCATCAAACTTTAACACCCTGTATCTTCCAAGGCTTTCTGAGCTTCGCGCCCGTAGGAACATTTGATCAGCATAACATAAACTATTACCGTGAGAATTTATTAAAATCGAGTGGTGCCTGGTACTTGATGTATGGTTGAAGTTTGATTCTACCCAAAGTTTTATCAACTGTATGGCCAGATAAACAAAATGAGTTATGGAGGAAACCAGAATTTGTCTCCAAGGGTTACATAGTGAAAAGTGTGAAATTATTTGTATTTCGTATAACTCCAAGAATGACGGCAAAGTTGGTTGGCGCTTTACTACACGTTGATTTTTCTATGTAAAAAATTAATTTGAAATCATAATCTCAGGTATTAGTGTTGTTGACTATAACAACCTTAATGAGAACATAAAGCTGAAATAGTTATAGTTCCTTCAGGAGTAACTAGTATGTGTAGGGTATTTGAATCAAAAGTTAAGCTTTTCATTTGGCAACATGTATCTTGACCTGATTTTTTCGCATTATTAAAACTGTTTTATGGAAGACAAGGAATATTGACACTCATAAATATTTAAGTTGTGTTAAAAAATTTAAATTCATAGTAAACCTGCACCAAAGCACTAGATTGTTTTCTAAGTAATCCTTATGCAACTAGTATAGCTAAGGTAATTAATCCAGATTACTTGCCTATGAGTTATATTAGCTTAAATTTTCGACACCTGGACTACTTTTGTACATGATGCTAGTTCCTGGGGTTGCTAGATCGACAAAATTGATAACCTAGAAATTCATTGTGGCTTAAGACTATGAGTATAAATAGCAGACAACCGCTAAAAAAGGTAAACACCTATATTTTGCTGGAAATGTCATGCTCGATTCTATATTTTACCAATGTTATCCTTGTTTTTATGAAGTCTATCATCTGGTTTTGTCATTAAGTATGTAGCAGCTATCAGAAAGCTTATCTTAAGGTATAATGCTATTCTGGGCGTCAGGGTCATTTTACGTAAAATTGACAAACATATGTGTACACTCATTTTTGTAGTTTATATCAATCTGATGGCATTCACAGCTAAAATTGAATTTCACTATGCAAGTACTGTTGTTCATGTTCATTCAATTTTCAGCTGACATATGCCATAAGCATCCAAAGATATAAATTACTGTTTTATATATTTCATTTTATTATATCTGTGATAATGTCTCATCATATGAGCACTGATCTGTTTTATGTTTTAACTTTTACACAATTATCTTCTTTACTCAATTTCATATTTATCAAAGTTCTTATTTATGTATACTTTATATAGTCCATTTTATGTGAAATGTACATTTTGGAAACTGATAATTATTCTTACTTATTGGATGCATTCTAATTACATTTATTATTAGACTTACAATGCTTTTTATTTACAAAATAAAAATACACTTTAAGAACCATAATCAAGATACTTTTAGTCCCAGAAGCGCTTCATCCTGAACATCCTCTACATCCACAGTGTACACACTCCACAATACGCCCCTAAAAATAAAAACAAAATAAAAAATCTGCAAATGAAAACATGGATAAACAGGACTTCGGTGACTGGCCAAATCAAAACCTCTTACACAGTTCTTTACAGAGCATATATATGCCAGGCATTAATGAGATAAGATTTTCTTAAACACCCTCTTTCAATAGAAATTATTCTATTTTAACAACTTTATTAACAGGATTGATAAACTATAATTTTTGACTCTCATATATTGTCTTTTTAATTATAATTGGAGCCATTTTAATTTTATTTATTTAACAAGAATTGGTCCCTGAGTGTCGAATGCGGAGGTACCACCCGGCGGATCTCTAAGGTGTTCCCTCGCTGGAGCCCGTGTGGCGTTCCCACCTTTCCCCTGTATCCCCCTATAGCCCCACAGTACGTATAGGTGCTTAGGCCTCCGTGGTGGTTCAAGTACAAAAAAACGATGTCCACAGAATAACTTTCAGTAGTTATATAATGAACAAACATTTTGGGCAATATTCTGAGTAATTATTATTATAAAACTAAGAGCATACTCAAGATTCCATTTGTTGAGGAGGCAGACTATGGGCACGAGGGAAATGTACCTAGGGCCCCAGCTTTATGGAGGTGCCGGAAATGCCCAAAAATTGAACAAAATCCTACTAAAAATGTCTAAAGGCTCTCTCCACCTCCCTGCTATTTAATTCTCAAAAGCAAAGGTCCCTGGATTTTTCTCTACTGTGCAAGGGGTTCTTGAATCTTGCATGTGACACTGGAATTTTATTTTTGTGATTTTTGTCATTATTTGTGCTGTTGCACTCTTGTTCGATTTGATTTCAAGACAGATGTTGGAAAGAAGTGGTCAGTAATGAAGAAAAAAGCAAGTATTTTTAAGCAACTCACTCTTTTTTGTGATTTGCCAGTTTCTTGAACATAATCTGGTACACGTTCATTATCACAAGTTCTTAGCTTCACAAGACTTTTCGAATGAAAAATGACGATTGCAAAATTCAAGAAGGCTCATGAGTTTTGTACAATATTTTAGCTATCTTGCATGCAAAATTGAACATTCAATATTTGAGAGCAACCCCTGGACCCTTTTTAACTGCAGGTTTTAAGCACTTTAAATGCAGAGTCCTTTAAAGCTATCATGAGATTTTTTTTATCACAAAATCTTAAAGAGAAAGAAGTAGCAGCAATTTTAAAGAGAAAAAACTGTATCTTTGTATATCTAGTGAGAGAAAAGAGCAGCTTAACTTTAGGCATGAACCAACTACCACAACAATTTCTAGATCAAAATAACATCTTGAGAGACATGCATTTATATGATATGTATGTAGATGCTAAGGAGTAGTGCCACTATACTATATACAGGGTTCGTCAGAAAGAATGCATGTTTTTTAAATGAGTAGTACAGTCAAAACAAGTATGGGAAAAATATTTTATTACATTTTTCTGAGTAAAACAAGATTTACGTTCTAAAATCTATGGCGCCCTTGACCCAAAATGCAGGAATTAAGCATCTCCCGAAATGAGCCCACTGCATCAGCCAGCATCCCTGCAAGTATTTGGGTTACTTCTCTTCTTATTTCCTCCTTCAAATCGACGAGGGTCCGAGGCTTGCTTTGATAAACTTTTGATTTCAGGTAGAGCCCCATAAAAAAACATCTCACGTTGGAACGTCCGGAGAGCGAGGGGGTCATGGAATATCGCCATGACCTGAAATGAGTCGGACACGTCGACGTCGAAGTTCCGAAAAAAAAAAATAAGGACCAATAATCATCGTTGCGCCTATGGCACAGCAAACTGTAACGTTCAGGGATGCATGTGGTGCTCAATATTGACAAGTTTGTTTATTGACGTATCCATGTAAATGTGCTTCATCACTCATAAACAATGTCATGTCATTGTTATCCAACTGTTCAATCATGAGCTGTGCAAAATTAACATGTTGTGCATAATCCCCTGACAACAGTTGTTGACAAACTTGGATTTTGTAAGGATGGAACCCTAAATCCTTCTTCAAGATGCGACGTACAGAGGATGCGTGGATCCCTAGGAAACTTGCACGCAAACAGATGGAACGGGCTTTGCAGCGTGTCACCTCTCAGTCTGTCTACATTTTCAGGGGTTCTAACAGTACGGTTTAGCAGTTTTTCCTTCATCACATTACCTGTTGTGTTGAATGCTTCCACCCATCTCAAAATGGTGTTATGGTCTGGTACTGTCCCACGACGTGGAACATGAAAGTGAGCGTGAAACTCACATACTCCCCATTTTGGAACTACAATGTACAGTGAACACACGCTGCTCAACGTTCCAAACCATCTTGAAAACTGAAACAGCACTTCTCCCACTATCCAACACGCCCAACGACATGGGACCAGCCCACTCAATGTAGTACCCATTCGAAAAACATGTGTTCTTTCTGAAGGACCCTGTATGTAACTTCATACTAATCAAATCTATGGACAAGATGAAAGTAATCATATACACATTTGTATTAAATTGGACTGGCAGATATTTGCCGCAACATTTGACAGTCACCAGTGTGACTGAAATGTCTGCAATAAAGATATCTTTCAACACATGCAGTTGCGATTGGCCAGAGGGCAGATTATAGGTTATTTACCTTTTGACTACAGAAATATTGAGATGACATAATGAATTTCAGATCGACTTACTTCTTCTAACTTTGCTTTTGGTACTCTGCAAATACAGTTTGTACCAAAGTTTGTGTCCCTAGTCTGTATACAGCGCAGGCAGCACAGACTTTCATAACCTTGCTTTTTCCATTTAGCTATCAAATTCTTGTCGGCAATATTTTCTGCTAAGCAGTATTCGTATAATTCTCTGGTGATTGCTTTTCTTCTATAAAATAGGTCAAAAATGTATCTTGATTTCTGATGGTGTATTTTGAAAATTGGCCATAGGGACTCGTTTTTTCTTTTGCCTTCATGGGATTCTGTTTCAGCTAAAGATAAAGTTCGTTGAAAAAAAGATTCAAAGTTATCAGTCGAAGTGCTGGAATTCCTTAGTAAGGCAGAGATATTTTGAATTCAATATTATTTACCTTCTCTCATTTTTTGTTCAAGTTCGTCAAGAGTTGGCTCAATGAGTTCCCATCCTTCAGGTGGAGCCTTTTTGCTTCTTCTTACTTTAGGCATACTTACTTATAGAATCCGGGCGACTATTTGAGTTTTTAAATTCTTTTTAAGATTCCTCCAAAACAAAAAATCAAAACATTTACAGGAGACCTAATGACAATAGAAAATATACACTGACAAATGACTGCCAATTTTCGATTTTTCGAATGTCAAATGTGTCCAAGGATGGGAGAGTTCGTGGATCGTTTTTCCTGATCTTGAACCGGGTAGGAACCGTTCCATTAATGTCTCCTTGTATCATCATTTATCATTTTCATTCATTTCTAAAAAACTAAAATCTAGTTTGTTCCGTTTTTGAGATAATAACAATGTGACTATACAATAATAATGTACCCTGACTATTTTTACGCTAAACTTACAGTACAACCTTAATTGCAAATCCTACAACTTACCGAGAATAATGTAAATTTATAGATATTTGGCGACGTCCGTCGGTCTGCTGCATTGGCAAATCCGGAATCAACGCCACTTTTCGCGAGAAGTTCCCAGTTATTTCGAACATTCTCGACCATCTGCGCGAACGTGTATACACCAGTGTACAGTGCCGGATGCTGCGCTGTTCGATTTTCGTCCGCCGGAGCGCATAACGTCACGCGGAGAGTGATTATCATTTGGGTTGATATGGATAACGTGCATATTTTCACCTACAGGTCAAACGGCTGGACGGATTATCACATATGAGGTGTCGTTGGATTCGTCTTAGCGGTGCGAGTGACACTATACATTAAAATTTTATACAAAACAAAACGGCGGATTTTAATAAAAGACTTCAACCTTGTAATTCATATTTCATAGTCTACGCCTCAAACTGCTTGATAGATTTTCACATATCAGGTGTCGTTGGATTCGTCTTAGCGGTGCGAGTGACACAATTTATATTACAATCTTATACAAAACAAAATGGCAGATTTAAATAAACGATTTCAACCTTGTAATTCCTATCTCACAGGCCATAGCTTAAACGGATTTCTAACTCCACAATAGAGCGTGTATCGTCACTTTACTGTAAAAACTTGATTTTTCTAGATTACCTATATTTTAGTATGTTCTGTGGAGCAGGATTAACATTCTCATGACGTTAATACTGCACTACATTTAATCATCCTTATTTCACAGAACATCCTAAGTACGAACTACATGCAAGTGTGAAAATGTACGCAACTCAAAAAGTAGAAACATGGAGTTATCATCTTTTTGCAGTAATCTGGTGGTATAACAATAAATGGAAATGACTTAGTCTAAGTCTCAATTTTTCTCCACTTTCTTTCACGATTTTTCTGGTTTTGCAAACTTTTATACAGTTCTTTGATCCGTAAGAACATCCTTGACCTGAAAAATAAATAAAAAGCTTTTTCAGGGCAGTCGATGTTGCTGCTCTTAAACAGGAGTTCGCCTATAACATTTTCCTTTTCTGTCACTATTCCGTCCCCATTGAACGTAGTAAACACCTTACTAAGCTTCTCAATTTGATTCGTGAAAGCTGTGGAAGGTTTTGATAATCCACTCTCACTAAGATGGTCTATCCAGGAGCAAGTTTCATTTGAGGAACTTTTCAACCTCTCATCCTGCAATTTATGGCAAACAAAGCCTGTCAAATTTTTCAGCCTATCATACTCAGGCTCATCCATTTCTTCCATTAAAACTTCCTCGTTATAGTCAGCTGATACTTCAGCTTATTCGTTAATGATCCGGTTAGTGACCTCTTATTGTATACATAAACTCTAGGGGATAAGTTGAGCCCTTTGCCTTTTTTCGTAAGCACTTTTCCGCTTTTCCCCATCAACAGATGTAGACGGTCCAGGTGATGATAGAGTCTTGGGTAAATTTTCCATAGCAATGGCATCATCTTTTAGAGCACGGCAACTTTCAGGGGTGTAACCCAGAAAGGTATGTTTTAAATTGACCTTATAGGCACTTTCACAAAAATGCTTCAAGCAAACCCTAGCGCTTTTTACATTGACTTTGTCTTTTTTGTAAGATGTAGCCATTTTTTACTAAGGTTTGGGTCTTGAGGAAATCTGTAGAACTTCATGTCTTTGCAAGGATTCCGTTTAGAATGGTTGTCGGAATTACTCGTACATCCCACAACAGCACACCGCATTTTTAACAATTTATCAACCACACAGGCTATATAAAGTATGTATAACTAATAGAACAGGTCACGAAACCGCCAAAAAACACCAACAAATCGCACTATATAGTATTAACCACGATACACGTGAACTGCAGTAACGTTACGACAATCCTGCCGCTGGTAACCACGAGCCGACAACTCTCCGGGTGCGAAGCTCCGTCCACATGCGCAATATCCTATCTTCACTGTATGTGTATCGTGGTGTATACACGCCGCATCTCGTCAATTCTGGTCAGTCTCAGTCTATCTATTGTGAATGCATATGTTGTAATTTGCATGTTAAATACAGTAAATTTAAATTTATACCAAATCATGGATAAATTTTTAAGTGGACGTAAGCGAGCATTCAATACTAGTGAAGCATCAAGTGCACAGGCGAGAGATGAGGTTCCAAAAATAAAAACAAGAAAGTATTCTATATGTATAATACGAAGAAAGGCATCTGTGTATCATTTGTTCAAACACTTTAGCAGCAGATAGCATGAAACCTGATTAACTTAAACGACATTTGGAAACGCTTCATAGTGAGTTCGTTCACAAACCCCGAGAATTCTTCGAGTTAAAATTAAAATCATACGGAAAGCAAAAATCATTTGAAAAAACTATGAAAAAGCTTTACTTGCCTGGTATAAAGTTTCGTAAGAAATAACCTCACACTATTGGTGTAGAGCTTATTTTGCCAGCTGCAATTAATGTTGTAGAATCTATGTTTGGAGATAATTGTGCCCGTCAAATTGGTGATATAGCTGAAGATTGACAGCATCAGCTACTCGGGAAGTTGCGAGACAAGTTGTTTTCATTTCAGCTTGATGAGGCAACGGATAGCAATACAGATGATTATCTTATTGCTTACGTTCGATTTTGTGATGGCATATCAGTAGTAGAAAAACTAGTTTTTTGCAAACCTATAGAACTCGAAACACCAGCTCTCGTATTATTTGATATCTCACATCTTTACATAATCAGGGCAAACATAGTGTGGAAAAATTTCGTCGGAATATGCACCGATGGGATTCACAGAGAAGCTCTGGCTTCCAAAGAAATGTATTCTGGCATGATTATTCTGCTAACTACGGTTGTAACAGCAGTTAATTATATTAAAATGAGAATCTTTTCTGCACTTTGTAAAGATATGTGTCAGTACATTCAGCATTACTATTCTATTGCGAGGCAAGATGGTTATCACATGGGAAATGTTTACAATGTGTTTTTGAATGAAGACATGAAATCGCCGTTTTTCTAGAAGAAGAAAACGGACCGGAGGCCAAGATGTTTCGAGATGATTTATTTCTGATGAAATTGAGCTACTTGGTCGACATATTTGAGAAAATAAATATCTTGAACCTTCAGCTCCAAGGAGCAAATACATACATATACATACAAGTGGATATGAGTTATAAAGTTAACGCTTTTTGGATAAAATTGGAATTGTGAAGCAGAAATTTAAAGTAAAAAAGCCTGGAAATGTTTGCAAATGTGGATGAATGTATTAAAACTTACAAGGTTGAAGAACAACACATGAAGGTTGTTTTCATAACGATTGAAAATCATTTAGCGATGCTGACAAAGAATTTTAAAAAATATTTTCTTGCAGGCGACAAATTAATACTTAGTTACGAGTGGGTTAGGAATCCGTTTCAAATTATTCCCGAAGGACTCTCAACTTCCGAAGAAGAAATCTTCATAGACTTGACGACGAACGCGAATAAATCCCTCTTTAAATTTTGGGTAGGCGTGAACGATGAGTTTTCGGCACTGAAAACCATAGCGTTTCGTATACTACTATCATTTTCAACATATTATCTTTGCGAAACATTATTTTCGGCGGTGGCTGCTTTAAAGATCAAATATAGATCGCAGCTAAATATAGAAAAAAGAACTCAGAGTGTCTATTTCAAATATTAAATCTTGTTTCGACAAGCTTTGCTCGGCAAATCAGGCCCAAGGGAGTTACTAGTAATTATTATTATTTCTTACAATTGATATTATTAAACTTATTTTTAATTTAGCATTGATGGATACAGTCCTGTTTATAAGCATACCTACTTATCAGTGTTAATGTTTATTTTACTTTTGATTGTCAGAATTTTGTTTTTCTTTCCCTTTAGTAAATTATTCAATGTTGTTAGTGTTTTTTTTCTGATTTGCTCGCGCGCCACTTTAATATTGACACGCTTCCTTAGGGGGCGCGCCCCACAGGTGGAGAAATGCTGTAAAATGGGATACTTTTGTTGGTGAATTCAAAAGAGAGGGATCTTTTGGATATAAACTTTTATTAACCAGTCTTGGTGCTGAACCTTACAACCTTTTATACAAAATTGTCTTAAAATCTACAATCCAGAAGTGAACATTCCGGGACTAGAAGTTATAGTACAAGAAATGTTTATACAGTGAGATTCAAATTTGGCCGACGTCGTAATGCATACGAGAGAGAAGTTCGATAAGCGTACGATATATATATATATATATATATATATATAGCCATAGAGGTGCTTCTATCTCTTTCTGATATAGGTCTAGCAACCCGAGTATGAGATCACGGACGCCATCGGCGCAAATTCTCTAACGTACACATATCGTACCTCTCTCTTGTATACATTACGACGTCAGTGGTGTTTGGTTTTCAGTGTATATATTCTGTTCTATCATAGTTTTTTTTCATTGGAAAAGTAATATGGATCACAATATGAAAGTACACAGTATCTAATGAAAAATCTGGGCCAGATAACTAACTGCCAAGCAAAACTAGGGATAGTATTCAGAATTATTGATGTTCTATTGCTCATCAGCATGTTTTTTTTAGTGGAAGTTTTCCTTCACACTTGAGTAACTATTAAAATAACTTACAAATTGAATGTATACATCAAATTAGTCAGTATATGATTTGAGGAGATTACATGAAGCCTTACAAAAATTCCAATAGCAAGATGTTATATAGGATAAACTTGTTATACACAATAAAACACTAACATAAAATTGTATCAAATGTTTCCTCGAATCAAGTTTCAGATAAAATTATGTACAAAATAAATGAAAATCATACCGTGAGGGTTCATAATCTGGTATTTGGGCGTTACTATGCATGATGTGTAAAGAAGAAATGTAGTAGCTATATAATCTCAGACAAAATTTTTGATAACTTTTCATCAGTTCACTTTACTATTCTTGCTTGTAAAATAGGTTTAAATATATCAATTTTAATCATCAGATTATAAACACTAATCTTTATTATGTATATAGGAATTGCAAACCAATTACTACTTATATTTTACAAAAATTGAACCTACTAATTATCATTCAATAAAATAAATATATTTTAATCATTAATATGTATGTACAACATTGCAGACACTTTCAAGTTTGTTCTTATATCATTTTTTTAAACCTTCAAGTAACACATACTTTTGAGGTGATTGCACACACTTGACTAGGGTAAACAGATATAAAATAGTTTAAAATAGTTCTCTATAGGTATAGTTTTTTTGAGTATAACTGTAAAATAAGTTTAAGGATTTGAAATTATATAACACTGCAAATGAATGGTCCTGGGCAAAGTAAAATTTAAACATCTACTTTGCTACTACGAACAGTTGAACAGCATTGAGCTGTTAGTATCCTGAATCTTAAAACAGAAATTTTATAAGGCAGCTACCTTGCTTGTCTCTAAATACCTCCATCCCTGGATGCCGGATATTGAGCCAAAAGCATACAAAGAAAGACTTCTTCATAATTAATATAGGGGCACTTGTATTAATTCATTGTCTTTGAAGTGATATAGTCTATTTTCATGAAAGTGCCTACTTCTCATAAATATATCTTTTAGAGTGCTACCTAACAACATGAAGATTTGGCAGGTTCAGCTTCAGCAATATTGAAGTCCAGGCCACTTGGTCTGGCAAATCCTGTTTTGATTCCATCCCAACCATCTTCTACTTTATACTCTCCTGTTTGTATCCTATTATAAACCTCTTGAGTCACACACCTGAAGGCCTCTTCAACATTTTCGCCCTTTTTGGCTGAAGTCTCCACATGAAATAAGCCATGCTGATCTATAAATACAATGAAACCCCTTTAACAACCTTCTCAATCATACGAAATGAATGTAACAAGTTATAAAACGACCATCATCAAGTATATATGGCAATAATCATGGTAGCAGTGCTCTTCAATGTTGTCAGTGTGAAAAGTTTGGTTATTATTAGAATCCTTGACATTGGCTGTATGTTCGAATTGAAATAACTGTCAATTATGCTGTCTAATGGCTTCACAATCTACATATAATGTAAAAGAAAATATATTTGAAGATGGATTTAAATGCTTGGTTTGCGAGTTAAGTATTTAAAACTGATGGAGGAAAGTGGGACAAGCCTTCAGCTTTGTTGGCAGCTAGCTCTTAAAACATGGGGAATCCAGAAAAAAGCCTGAATAGAAGACAATAAGTACTATTTGAGATGTAGCTATCAGATGCAGTAAGCAGAAAACACAGTCAAGATTAAGGCCCATATCGTCAGTCGTCCCTACAATTGTAGGGCGCGTTTATGGCCTCCTTGATTGTCATACTGCTTTCTCTCCTTCAAAAATTTATAGATTACACTTGTCCCGCATCAGCGCTCTCCTATTGTAAATATATGTTTTCTTTTTAAATTGTAGGAAATTTCAGGCTGATAAAACATGATATAACTCAAAAGCAAGCACAATTTGATGCAAATAGATGTTTGACATAACCTCAAAATAGAGTTCTGACACGGAGAAGTAGAAAACTATGACAATCAAGGAGGCCATAAAGGCGCCCTACAATTGTAGGGACGACTGACGATACGGGCCTAAGAGTGCTCAAAATATACTAGAACAAACAAATGTTTAATTTTATTCATAATTTACATTACTGAAGCATCCAAATGATCAAGGAGAACATAGTTAGTAGTATATAGCTTTTGCTTCTAGATGTAAATAAATTTGAAAGTACATACCAGTGAAAAACTCTATAATACTATAAAGAACATATGTCAGATCATTAAAAAGATAATATTATAGCTAATCAGCTTTCGAAAAAATATTTCCTACATTTTTGAACCCTTCCTAAAGCTACTGCATTCATATAAATTATAAGTAATGTAAGGAATAATAACATATACACAAAATGTTTTTTTACCATCAAAGAAATTGTAATGTAATATGAGAAATCAGCCAACCAAGAGCTATTTTGATTGAGAATCGAAAATAGTTGCATAGTTTATATACCTGCAAAATTCTTGGCTTCTTCTTTTGAGACCTCTCTCTGACCTCCATTTGCTACTAGGTCCAACTTACACCCAACCAAAGCAAAAACAGGCCTATGAGGCTCAATATGTCTCCTTGCTTCTGTCATCCATTGAGGTATGTGTTCAAAGCTGCTCCTATTGCAGATATCATATACTAACAAAGCACCAACTGAGTTTCTATAATATGACTTTGTTATAGACCTGAATCTTTCTTGACCTGCAGTGTCCCAAAGTTGCAGTTTTATCCTAGTCCCATCTTTCACTTCTATGAGCCTAGCAAAGAAATCCACACCAACTGTGGGGTCTGAGAGCTGTAAGTGGAATCAATGTACTAAATGGATTAATTATTTCAGATTGTTACCTCAGCAAACTTGCCATCAGTGAAATATTTCAATAAAGAGCTTTTGCCCACTGTACTATCTCCGATTAATATCAACCGGAATTGATAATCGAAAATTGGTTCTACCATTTTATATCATTACAAGAGTAAAGCACTGTGGTATTTCAACGCAGTTGTCTCCAATAATACAATATTTTTGTTTTTGGAAAGTGGTTTTCTCAATGACAAATTTGAGAATTGAGTAATTGACAATATTGACATATGACAAGGAGGTCGCTAAGTTTTTTCCTACATGTCCCGCTGCATACGCCATCTTACGACAGTAAGTACTCTTTATGTATTACCGATTTTGCTTGGAAGCCCGGAACATAATTAAAATGAGAGTTTCCTTGCATAATATGTGGATGATACATGTCAGGAGCTATAACAATTCAGTTTCGACACATTTCCTCAAATTAGTTAGTCGCCCAAAGAGAAGAATTTGTTTTTTTTGTTTATTCGATTAGGAGCACAAACTATCGCGGCTTCACTTTTCTCCTTACAATGGACATGTTTGCTTTCCGCATCTGTAACCACGACCAGCTACAGACAGCGTTGTTTCGTGCTCATTATAGTGCAATTATAGGTCTAGCAGTCCTGGAAACAGATGAACGGAAAGCAAACAAGAGGGTCTTTTGAAAAAACTCAAGCTACTGTGTGGCGGTTGGCGAAAAATCTGACGATGTCCACCTATCAATGATCTTTGCCAAGGTTGATCCTCCTCCTCATCTCGTACAATGAAAGATGACGGAAAATCTCTACTGTACCAGCCCATAACTCGCTCTGCGTTATGCGCATTGGTAGGTGGAGATTGTTAGATTTTTAGCCTACCTTCGCACAGTAGTTTGACTATTTTCAAACAACCATGCCCACTTGTTTGCTTTCCGTTCATCTGTCTCCAGGACTACACGCCCTAGACCTATACCGCACTGTTGAGCTGTTAATGAGCACAAAACCGCGCTGTCTGCTATCGGTCGTGGTTACCAAGGTGGAAAGCAAACATGTCCATTTCAATAGTGTCTATTTGTACTTAATATTTCCATAAAAAGCCATTATTGGTCTCCTGTGTGAATACTTGGTATTCCTGCTGCTAGATAAGTCGACTGTTTTGGCGATGCGACAGCTTTCTGTCCACTGCGCAGAGCGTCGAGCAGTTATGAACCGGTAGAGTAGGGGTCTTCCGTCAACTTTCATCGTATGGGATGAAGATGAGCAACTTTGGCAAAATCCATTGGTAGGTGGAGGTCTGGAGGTGCAGATTATCAGCTACCTTCACACAATACTAGTTTTTCAAATGACCATACCACTTGTTTGCTTACCATTCAGCTGTCTCCAGGATTGCAAGACCTACATATATTTCGGACTATACATATAGGGGTTCATTCCATATGTTTCAACCCTTTCGAGCCGGATTTTCTTACTCCGAATTGGTCGCACATTATCTATGTATTTTTTGCAGACTATATTTATCTACCAGAAAAAATCGAATTAAAACTTTTTTCAATATTCATTTGTTATAAAACTGAAGAACAGAATAAAAAAATCTATGAAACAAAACATAATTTTAGCTATACTAACTCATGGCCATACCAACAAACCAATATAAACAAAATACATAAAAGAACAGCACAATAATCTAAGGGTAACAAAATTTACAACAGAACAGTGTTTTATTTCAGATGATACGGTGCAAAACAATCTTTTCCCATAGCAATGTTAGCAACAGTTCGCTTCTCCTTTTTGCATGTTGAAGAGCATCTGCCCTCGACGGGTAAATGATCTACGATGTTGAATAATTTAGTTCTTTTAGTTGGAGGACGTCCTAAGGACGAGGCCGATTTTCATTTTACAGCAGCGTGTTTCCTGCCTTCTGAAATCAAACCCTCAGCCACTGCAGGAAGGAAAGACAAAAATGTCTATTTCGTTCTGTGCAAGTCAGAATAGATAGGTAACGTGGGCATTTGCTACAGCCATCATCAGAACTGTGTAAAAGACCTTCTTCCACCATTTTCCCGACTTTGTTGCTTATTGCCGGCAAATCCTTCGTATCTTGCCATCTACACACTGTGGTACTATTGTTATTCACACGGAATTCGAATTCACCTCGGTTCAGTTTGTTAGAAAACTTTGAAACATGTTTTTTGTTGCTCATCAGCTGCAAAGGGAAGAGAATCCACTAGCAAGATAGAAGAAAAATCTATCGAAGCAAAGAACAACTTCTTTATCTTGAATCGATTCACACAATTTCTTGACAACTCTTTCTCTAAGGGTACTATCGACCTGTTCTGTATCCTTGCCAGCATATACGTTCAAATCGTAAACGTATCCCGTGGACGAGTCGCTTCGAACCCATAGTTTGATCGCTCTTTTTATAGGTTTCATGGGTAAATATGTTGATAAATTGATAAAAATGCGGTGTGCTGTTGTGGGATGTAATTCCGACAATCAATCTAAACGTGATTTTTTATTTGTCGACTCTGTGTTCCCTTCACTGTCATCTAAGAACGATTTCAGCAACAATCTCGCCGACTTACTGTAGACGATGAGGGCATAGACCTTCGAAAGTTCGGGTTTAAGTTATAAGAGTGTGCTTATGCAATAATTTGCCTCCTACCCAAGCAAATTCAAGGATATATGTGCATACATAACCGAATTGGAATATTCAACGTACACAATTTCCATTCATGGAGCATGGAAAATCCACACGCTCTTCGCGGACACAATTTTCAACGTTAGTTCGGCGTTAATTTATCGGCTGGAGTAATCAACAAAAAATTAATTGGACCATATGAATTGCCCGCCAGGTTGAATGGTCAGTCTATCTTGCTTTTCTACAAAGCAGTTTGCATGAGCTGCTATAAGATGTACCTTTCGACGTTAGAAGCAGCATGTATTTTCAATGCGATGGTGCCGCATGCCACTTTGCACGGGAAGTGCATTACGTAGTGCCTTTCCTGGGCGTTGGATGGGTTGGAGGTGGACACATACGATGGCTTCCAAGGTCACCCGATTTAAATCCTCTAGATTTTTTTATATTGAGGTTTTATAAGGGGATAATCTATACCTCGCCATAAAGAGCGGCTAAACACAATGGTTCTGTACTTTTAGGTGGAAACGGTTTCTATTGCGTTTCTTACGTTTATCGCATCACAACAACGAATGTGACATGATACACTCATCGTAGCAAGCAGAAATTTTCAGGGTTTATTATACATGGATTGAAATATTTCTTACTATAAAATGAATAATGAAATACAACCTCATTTTTTTACCGCCGTCCAAAGTTGAAGGATGGAAGAGATGTTTCACACGTTGATTTCTAATGAGTTCTGTGAATAGTGACATAACCATTGCTAAAACTAACCATTAAGCTCAACTCTGAAAAAATATCACAGCCCTAAACCTAATGATTTAGTTGTAATAGCGATTGAAAGTTCATTATTCCGTTTTTTTTTTGAGATTTCACAAAAATGCAAATATCTCCTGAACTATAAAATTTCGGATTACCACATAGGGGTTCTTCGATAGATTTTGAGGACTTCTATCACCTGACTTCCGTTGATCCGCTACTAACTTTACACCCTGTATGTAATAAAATTTTTGTCGTTCAAAAAAATTGTCAAAATCTGTAAATCTTCAATCTGTCAATCTTTTTTAGTCTGAATGTCCTATAGATAGTCTATGCCAAAAGAAGAAGATTGGTATAACATAATACCATAGCGCTTTGATGATTAGTTGTTGAGGTGTATTCGATGCAATATTCAAAAGCGCTCAACTTTGACAGCCTGACAGTGCTCCATTTCAAAAAATAGTAATTTTATATTCTAGGCTTATAAAGTACCCATGAGAAGCTTCAAAATAAAATTCTTTCCATACCTTAAACAATGTTACAAGATGGCGCCCAGCCGCGTCTTGAAATTTTCCGGTATTATTTTTTTGTTATAATATTCATACGCCAATTTCACCACTCTGATTTTCAGCATGCTAACTTGACTCGTTCAAAAAATAAGTATAAAGCACTGTACATATTTATTTTGTGATGAGGTCATAAAATGTATGAATAGAAAATAAGTAGGTACTTCTAGGACTTCCTAGTGAGACTAATTTTTATTTTTTCAACTTTCCCCCAATATTTTCTGAATGAACGTGTAGTTCAAAAATATTCAAAAACAAAGTATTCTCCCGCTGCAAAAGTGAAATATTACGTTCTTTCTTCAGCGAAGCACCCTTATAGTATGTTCAAACCGTTTTCTGCAGTATTTACTGAAATTCATCATATCAAGAAGTTTGAAATATCAACTTGTATTGTTGTCACTACATGAAAATACATATATTCGAAAATGTAAAACTATGTAAATTTCTCCACAACTTCACAATACAGATAGTTGCTAGTTTTTTAGGGGCAAAATGACATTTTTTCCAAAGTTGCCCTGCCACTCAAATTTTTGTTGTCATACCTCCGTCATGATTTCTTATTGGGTTATTCGAAAACTTCTTTAAAGAGTCTGGGCCAATAGTGCGAGGACGGAGAATTATATGAAAACTAAAAAGAAAAGAATGCGGAAAAAAAATCGGGTTGTTATTTGGTTGTTGCCACGTCTGACGTATAATTTGCTGGTGATGTTGGTAGTTTCAGTTTTAAATTATAAACTAATTGTTGATTTGGCAAACCCTCATGAAATAAAAACTGATAATTTCGTGTATTTTTGTTTTCTATCTGAACAAATTAAGATAAATAAAGATTTTTCTAATTTTCTCGAAGACTAAAAAAAATCAGACTTTAAAATAAAGGACTTCGAAAGACCTTTCAAGCAAGCAGTGGCGACGCGTGACTTTTCCTAAACTGTTACCGAAACCAGATATGAAAAATCTTTTTAAAATAAGTTTATTTTGAACCTCCCAAATATATGTTTTTGCTTATTTTAGGTAGTTTATTTAAACTATTTTAAAATTAAGGTAAACATTCCTGGACTGAGCGTTTGGGGCACTTGATATACCTCATCGTCTTATGCTATGACTAATCCAAGCCGTCCAAAAAAACAGTCGACGTTTCTAGATGTTCGGAAAATGTTTGATCTTTTTCGGCAATGAATATTAACAATTCCCTGTAATTTCCTCTATTGTCAGAGTCATCCCCTTCGAAATGAACGGTAATTACTGTTTTGCCAAAAAACATACGGTATCTAGAAGTGTGCTGCCTAAAAGCTTGGTTAAGACAACTTTCGATTTTTGTTTTGCCAAACTGAATTAAATTTTCTTCACATAACGGAGAAATTTCATGTCTCCTCTTTAGAGCCCTAAAACTATTTAAATCGTTGACTCCGCTGCATTTTATTCTGTATAAAACAGAAGACATCGCCAACAATACAATCTGTTTTTTTACAATCACATAAACAAGAGTTTCCATATACCAACTAAATTTAAAATATCTAACTACGTTTTTTATTCCGTTTTAAAATTATCTAAAATAGGCGTTGGTCTTCCATTTTCAATGATCTTTTTTTAACTTAAAAATTATACAAGGAGAATGAGTTTTCAAGTAGTTGATCGATTACGCAGCGACACTCATCCATGTTTAACTGCACGCATACTACAGCCGGTAACCAAAACGGCTACTAAGAGTGAGAAGTGAGTAACCAAATCAAAAAATGGTAACAAGCCCACATAATAGTCGCAGCGCCCCACGCACTCGGGCGACCGCGATCAGACACGAGCCGGTACCGACGGTCTCCGACAGACTACCAAGTGTATCCATTAATGAAAATGGTAACCGACAACCAACTCGAGGCGAGTCACCTTCATTGTGTTCGCAAAACATAGACACTATAGGGCGCATTATTTTCGTGGGGCTAATTTGCTATTTACTGAATTACTATTACATATCGCTGTTGGTAAACAAATAAATGAAATTACTTCACAGTACTTAGTCATTAAATATTTATTTTTAAGATTTTTAACTGTTATCGATGGTAACAATGGTTACAGGGACGCTTCGCCACTGCAACCAAGCTATCACTCGATACCCCTTGTCAGTTAAAATTTTTCAGGGAATGGCCCTGGGGGGCCGAGGATGAAAGGGGGTGAAGTAGTTTTTGGTTAAAAAGTTGTCCAACTTGACAAATCTTTTGACGCGTCTCGGCGTTTTTTCTTTTAATCAGAGGTTTTCGATAAATCCGTGGCGGAAATGAACACCCTGTATCTAACTATAGAAGGCATGCCTAGTCTCATGGTCATAATTTCTACTATGGCCCGAAATAATAAAAAAGTAGAAAAGCATTGAACAACACATTTTAGGTGTTGACCCCCATCCCCCATGAACCTTTAAACTATGTCAAAAAATAATCAGAAACTCCGAAAACATTCAAAACATCAGGTTTGTTGAGATTCTGAGACTTTTCCGTTTTACTTGATCCTGAGTCTATTGGTGAAAGCCTCTAAGATATTCTATAATTGGCCTTGTGTCAAAACTGAAACAGAATGCGAGCAAAAACGAACTCTTCGAATAGAGGACCTCATATCATCTTCGATGTAGCTATTTTTGAGGCCCTTGTTCACACTCAAAAGAGTCATCTACATGCAGAAGCTGTATGATTTCTAATGTAATCAATTACTTGAACGATGAACAATGCACAGTTCAACGCAGGTTAACAGCGCTGAAATCACAGTCCGACCCTGCACCGCTCTGTCTGTCCCTGTTTCTTGCTGAAGTTAGCGCGTCCACAGCTGGGGTTACATTTTTGTGCTCTCTATGCTAGAACCTGCGCTTAAAAACCACTCGTCTTGCAAATATTAGACAGTATTTCTACTGGTCCTATATTGTGGTAATAATATAATGTGTTCAAGATAAATTTGTACGAATCATGAATCCACCTTGAACTTCTGACGATTAAATTACAGTCTGTCCGAGCTCTACACAAACCCTCTATACGCCACTGTGTCTCACCCTCACTATTGAGGGGGTGAGTCGGTCTGTCCACCGACCATCGCGATCGGCGCGTCTCTGGGGCGTCCCGACGCGCGACGCTGTCAACCGACGGCCGGTAGCGCGGCGTCAGTACGCGGCGGACACGCGTAGCATTTGTCTCGAGGAGGGAGGTTCTTGGCGTCCTTCGAAGTCGTGGAAACACGCGTCGGCGTCGGCTGGAAAGTAAGTAAAGTGCGTTTGGTGAAGTTTGTTTCACGGGTATTTCTGATGTGCTGAAGTATCTTATCTGGGCTCCATGGTAGGGACAGCGAGACTTCGGACCATTAAAGGTAACACTGAATGATCAGTTTATTTTATAAAATGATTTTAGGTAACTGAGTCATGAAGATAGTTTTTCCTACTTTATACAGTAACATACGGTTTTTGATGCACTCAGTGGATCTAGGTACATATTTTTGATAGGTCGATGAGTCATATTTCCATACTCTATAAAAAATGGCGTCAAGTAGGTTGACTCTGTACTTCCTACGCGACGCTATCAGTTCATAAAGGATTAAGTTCAGCACGCGTTAAACCGTCTGATAAGAAAATTAGCTACAAACTTGTAGAATACAAAAATTAAACCGATCAAGTCAGTCTAAAAGGCCCATTCAATTAGTATACAGACGTTTTTTCCCTGCCTTACGTAGTTACCGCCCATCTGGCAACGTTGCTTCTTCCCATATCGTCAGACGCGGCAGAGCCCAACGAAACACCGCCGCAGTACGCTCAGAACAATAAAGCAGATTGTTACGCCGGCGGTGAGCCCAGACAGCAGAAGGAGACGCTTTATAAAATATCATACCTAGTTTTAACAAGTGCCGAACCCTATAATGTGTGGAATATGGCTGACAACATATAAATAAGCTAATATAAAAAAATGAATCTTGAAAACTTTGAAAATGCGCAAAAGTACAAGAAGTAATTTATCTATTAATTAGCGAAATAGATAGATTGTACCCTTGTTTTCTTAATAAAAAATTTATATTTATTCAGATATTTTATTTCTATCAGTTTATGTGACAGAACTCAAAATTCCATACGTTGTCTACCTGATTTCATGTAAATCAATTCAATAGTGCCTGAGATATTAAAAATTCGAGTCTTCATGTATATGCGAGAAACATGAATTTAAAACTTTACAATTTTCAGATATGAAAAGGCCTCGCTCCGTACTACCTACCATTTCACTATGTTCATTTAGCCGGGAACACATTGTATAAATTTCATGACAAATACGTTCTATTTTATTGAAGGATAGTTAAGCGAAAATATTAGACAAAATAAACCAAGTCTATGCGGAGAAATGGTGTAACTTGGAAAACAGATAAATATGAAACGGAAAAAAGCATGTACATACCTGTATATCGCGCTTTTTTGTCAAGGTGTTGGAAAAAACCATCCGTGTATTGAAAACATTTACGCAGTTTTACAACCATAGAGTGGAATGTTTTTGTATGTGGAATGACACATAGCATTCGATATAGGTAGTAAAACGTTGAATATTTAAATGTCATCCATTTTATGGGGAAGTCCAAATTAACGACTTTAGTGGTGGAGCAGTTTCACCGAATATTTAGGGTTTACTATCTGAATGTTGATATCGTTCTGCAACAATGTTGACAGGATTTTTTGCAATATGTTTATAACTTTGGGATTCTGCATTGTTTTGTATCATCACTATTTGAGTTATTGTGAAGGGCAATAATTTATTTACAAATCAGGAGCATAATATGTTATGGAAATCAAAATCTAGTTTATTTTTTATGAGTCTCGGTGACCTTTTCTCTGTTGTGATTTTAATTATGAGGAAACACCCGGAATCATGGGTGAACCATTCATGGTGTCTGCATGAAGATTTATGGTCTAGATATTGGTCAGTGGCGTAATGAGAGGGTATAAGGAGAGATTCAGCGAGTTTCCTCGTTTGCAAAAAAATTCAGTGAATTATTTTATGTAGGCCTAGGTATATTCACTTGAGTTCATTAGATACTTGTGTAGTTGATTAGCTCGCTGACGGCATTATGACTCATGGATTACTTATAGTAAAAAAATATGTCAGACAATCTACAAAAAGGCAAGCTGCAATAAGAAAACAAATATTGATCTTGAATCATAACCAGCGCCGTCCATTTAAAAGCTTCCTCAGTCCATGTTCAAATATTCAATTGCGAAGGAAAAGTATTATCTCTGTTATTAAATTTATGAAAATGTCTTTGTATTGAATTTTTTTGATGTAAGTATAATGATATTCTATTCTCTCTCTATTCTATTCTCTCTAGTTCACCAACTGGTTAACTCGCGGACGTCATAGTCACTCATGGCTTGCCTACAGTAAGGAAATGACATCAGATAACCTAAAAAAGCCAGACTACAATAAGAAAACTAATATTTATAACCACACTCCAAATTTTGAATTATCATCAGCAACCTTCACTCAAAAATTTAGTCAATCCATGTTTAAAGAATAAATTATGAATAATCTTATCTTTGTTTTTGATTTAGAGTTATTGCCTTCAATTTGCAGAATTGTTAGTGCTAGATTCATTGTATTACTGATTAAATATGAGGCGGAATCAAACGTTTTTATGAACAAATATTCTTTGCCTGTCTCTGATTCATCTACGAACTATCCGTTAAACAATTTCTTCCTGAACTAGTGACATCCAACCTTTGACGAGGTTGATTTCGCGAAAATATTTCTGTACACGCCAATGAGGTTACATGTCATTAGCATAGTAGGTACGTGTTGGATGGGTCCCAATGCCAATAATTTAATGTCTGGCTAAAAATCTAGTTCTCATTAACATTATTTTTATAGATCTATAAAGTATCTTACTGTGTTGAGTTCTTCATAGTTTCATTAAAGATAACTTTTCTGAAAACATTTCTGAAGTTATGCATCAAAAAGTAGGCAGTGCCAAAGAAAGCTGTAACCAAGTTGATAGTCACTTCTTGGGGCATTTATTAGACTATCCCAATTTTGTATGAGCATGAGCGGCAATGTTGGTTTCTGAATTCCAGCATTTGGGAAGGTTCGAGATTCAGCGTGCTTCCGGAAATAGACAAAACAACAATCGTTTCATAGTGTCCATCAGAAAAAATAAATTTGATGACTAGATACAAAACGTCATATTAAAATTCCAATCATGCCATCATGTTGTGCCAATTAGTTTGAAATACCACCTCAAGCAGTCAGGAAAGAAATACTTTCAACTGCGAAACTCTCCAAGAACCATTTTCATACTTACCTAATACGCAACTTTTAACCAATCTCGTATTTCTTGCAATGGTGAGAGCTGAATTTGAAACATTTGGTATTTTAAAAAATTTGCACTGGTCGACTGGTCGCGGAGTAATTTGTAAGAAACGAAGCTGGTGTTTTGGTGTCGTCTCACGGTTACTATGAGACTCCAAAACACTATAAGGGTTTCACTGTCAAAAAAACATTTTTTGTATCAGTTGTAGGCTTTCCCATCGACTTTTATTAGAGTCCATGAACTCCGTTATAATGAATGATATGCTGCACCCTTGTTTAAGTCGGTTCGTGCAAGTGCATCGGCTCCACACCCTTGTAAGGGCAACAACCTGCTTTAATTCATTAACGTATAAATAATCGCCCAAGCTCGCATACCGAAAATATTGTATGTTTTGAGAGTTTTTGGTCATCTTAGAGTGTACTGATAATGATTTAACTTAAAATGTTCAATTCTATATATTTTTTGTTTTGAGTTTTGATTTTTTTTTATCTTGTTCCCTTTTATACCCTAATAGCTGGCAATGCTGGGGTCAAAATAATAATTGCAGATTATGCAAGATCAATTTGCATATTTCACTAAAATAATAACTCAATTTTTTCCAAAACATTTCTTCAAAATTGGAGCCCACGACTTTTATAAAAAAGTATTTTGACAGCGGTGGGATTCGAACCCACGCCCTTTCGGACTGGTGCCTAAAACCAGCGCCTTAGACCGCTCGGCCACGCTGCCTTATGCCGACGTTGATTTTAAAATACCTACGCTTATCAGTACGTAAAGTATATACATCTATATCGCGTCGAGCAAGCACAGTGGCCAGTGGCGGTACGGAAACTTTGATTTGGAAGGTATAACGATAAAAAAGCGTCAAGTAGATAGACTCTGTACTTCCCATGCAATTCATTACATGATACATTTTTCCATGTAGTGCGATTTCATCCAAAATTTCAAAAAAAGATGGGTAGAGTCTACTCGGTCCAATAGAAACTTGATGAGGTATGTGCACTTAAGTACGATATATTGGAAGTGAATCTAACATATTTTTTTAATTGGCAATTGTATGTAAAATAGGGAGTTATTGAAATACTGCCATCCACTATTAATACCGACCTTGCAAGTAGAGACTGATCTTAAAATTTCTCAGAATTAGAGTTATTGAGTAGTTATTGGTGTTGGGTGTTGGGTGCATTTCCGTGCAGGGATGACAAAATTTCTAACCTAAAAATATTGGGATAACATAAACTTTTATCTTGTTTAAAAGTGTACTAAGACTGATGTAATTCCAATAATCTTCTTAATTATAGAGTTTTGCTATTGTTTTTGTATTTCTTCGTGTTTTGCAACCCGTTGGAGGTAAATATCAGTCTTTTTGGTTTGCATTTCACGGCCAAATGGTCTATGATTTTCACCAATTAAGCTTATAATCAGCGAACAGTACAAAATAATAGTGTGAAAACGGCAAAGGAAACTAGTTTCCGTATATAATATCTTATATCTGCGAAAACAACTATACGTATAAAGTGAGACTATTAGTACAAAAAGAAGAAAATAGTCTAGACTGCGCCATTTTAAGCATAATGTAATAGTGGCAGGCACTAGCTTTATTAATTCCAACTTTTGTTTTACTGCGTCTGCTCAGAT